TTGCATATCTTTATTTAAAACTTACATTTCTATTCATTAACAAAAATTTTGTTCGAAAATGGACGAAACAGAATTACTGGTTGAATCTACCAGAATTCTTTTTAATGCAACACAAGTTTTTCCAGTTTAGAAATGTAAATTCCAAATAAAAATAAGTATGCAACGGTAATCAATTTTTTAAATTTATTTAAACAAGATATTTGTTACATTAAAAGGAGTTCTAGTAGATTCTGGTTAGGTGTTTTTTTCATTATGAAGAACAATTTTATTTTGTCATTATATTTGACAAATTTTATTATTGTTGCATATCTTTATTTAAAACTTACATTTCTATTCATTAACAAAAATTTTGTTCGAAAATGGACGAAACAGAATTACTGGTTGAATCTATCAGAATTCTTTTTTAATGCAACACAAGTTTTTCCAGTTTAGAAATGTAAATTCCAAATAAAAATAAGTATGCAACGGTAATCAATTTTTTAAATTTATTTAAACAAGATATTTGTTGCATTAAAAGGCGTTCTAGTAGATTCAACCAATTCTATTTCGTCCATTTTCAAACAGAATTTTTGTTAATACAACAACCTTTTTTTTCTAGTGTATCTAATTGATTAAGGCCCGATTGCAACGTTATTTTGATTTTAAGCAGAACTTAAATGTGTTTATCTTTATCATTTTTTAAAAATAAATGAAGGCAAGCACATATTTAAGTCTCGCTTAAAACCAAAATGACATTGGTGCAATCAGGCCTAAGACATTATAGCAATCTTAGGATTTAAACGTTGATACCAAATGCACCTAAATCGCCGGCTATTTGGAAGACTTGCATATTGTTGTTTGTGAGATTGTAAACGCAGATTTAACTATTAATTGAACAACTTGATTTATTTGCGCGAGATCCGCATTGTTTTGCATATTATCGACTCTGTATAGTTTGCCGTTATGCAACCGCGATACATTATTCAGTTGCAGCACAAATGGTTCTGCTGGCCATTAAAACGAATGTAAACGTAAAACTTTATTTCCGGGAAAAGGAGATCATCCTAGCGGGTCTAGGTTCTCCATGGATCTCAATGTTCGTACACACATATTCATATACAGGGTGTCCCAAAATTAATAGCAAACCTTTTAATGACATCATTTGGAGATGATTTTTCCTCAGCAAAAATGTCGAGAGAGACCATCATTTTTTACATGTTCCCAATTTTTGTCATCATGTACTTTCGCAATTTTAAAAGCCTTAAATTAAAATTCTATACGGAGAGAATTTTCTTTTAGAATTTACCATGAAAATCATGGTAATCGTAGGACAATATGGCATTGGAAGAATTTTATAAGAGTTTCTTTGATTAATATTTACCACAATAAAAAATATTAATAGGTACATAGTAAAATTAATCTAGTATATTTTATATCTTATTGTGGTAGATATTATTATTTTTATTGTGATAAATATTAATCAGAAAAACTCTTATAAAATTCTTCCAATAGCATATTGTCCTTACGATTACTATGATTTTCAGGGTAAATTTTAAGAGACACGAAATTATAATAAAAGAATGTGATTTTGTTCATATTTTATTTTCACAATGCTTAGTTTGCGAAAAACTAAAACCCCTTATTTTCAATCGCTTCTAAGTCGAAAATGATTGATGTCTCGACATTTTCGTTGAGGAAAAATCGTCTCCAAATGATCCCAGGAATCTGCCATTAAAAAGTTTGCCATTAATTTTGGAACACCCTGTACATGGATTACGTATATAGAGATTCTTGTCTAGATATATGAGAGGATAATCACGAGTTAGTGGCGATGGTGGCCGCAGATAAGACCATTAACCGAGCAGATGAAGCTCAATTTCCATCTTTGAATATCATTATTCCTCGATTATATGGAGGATTGAAACCTTTCACCGTCTCGGTCACGTTCACCGTACAAATTCGGTCCTCGTGTCACTTCCAGGAAATAACATATAACTTGCACGACTTTTGATCGCAGCTGAATTATGAAACCCCAGATGATTTTTGCGGAATTGAAGTCCTGTCGCTTTTTCCTCTGCAAAGATGGTTCATTATTTTCTAGATTCCTCGAGAAAGTTAAAAATTAAAATAGCCTCGAAAGTGCTACGAAAATATAAAAACTCAAATTCTATGCTCAAAATGCCTATAATTATCACTTTCAAACAGAACTCGCGGAACTGCTCTTAAAGTAAAGAAAATTGAAGTTGTCGGAATCGCTTTTCTGAGAAGTAGATTTGTTACACCTATTTTATATTTAATTCTTCGATTACTAACATTATTTATAATCATCTTCTCGTGTGCATGTCTGCAAAATTTGAACTACTCAAAATTACTGCAGGCGATTTCATCGAAATTTGATATCCGCGAAGCGATGAGAAAAAGATCATTAATATAATCATTAATAAATAGTCGGTATCAAAAGAAAGTCGAAGATAATAGAAAAGAGGGGAGAAGGAGGGAGGAAAGGTTGCGTGGTGATGTTACGCACGGCGGCTTCGTACAAGAGAGTTTATAGATTTACTTCCCGTATAATTTTATTCCCCTATAGTATAAATCGGCGATGGTAAATGTTTTTTTTTTTTTTTTCATTATTCGCTATTAACTGCCTTTCTTTCGCAAAGAGACACCGATCGACGAAGACCGAAACCGCTGGGAGACTCGTTACAATGTGTTCGTGGTGTTTTTGTACATTGCGCGTACATCGAATCTATCCTCGCAAAATTGCGCAATCATAAATCGCTGAGAAAGCGCAACGCGTCTTCGCACGTTGTTCGTTTACTTCACACATCTTGCTGACATGACATGATTAATCGCCGCGCGATGATACCAGAGATCATGTATTTGTTCGTAAAAGAGCGAGGAGCCATCTTCCTCAATTGCTGATGAATATTTTTCCGCGAAGGAAAGAGATGATCAACGTCGATCGATGATCACTGCCGATACAATGATAATAATGGCTAATTTCATCGATTGTGTCGTTGTGAAGAAGACGGAGGACGACAGATCTCTTTGAAGTCGAGAAAATTAAGAACATGAAACGTATATTGTACGGTACAATTATATTATTCTTCTGTCGTTTCGTTGGAACAAGCTGCGAAAAGGTTGAATCGGCGACGATCAGCTGAGATGAAAATATGTAAATTTATCGATTTTGTTTTAAATTTATAAAAGATAAAATTATATGGCGAATCGTCTAGAGATAATTTCCAGGTAATATTATTTTTAATTTATTCATACTTTTATTTATAAGTTTTTCTCGCTTACTTCTTTTATAAGCTTTGATCACTAATTGTAAGTTCTACTACTTAAATATTTTTATGTGCTCTAAAGCAAATTATCTGAACGTTATTCTAGATAATTTAGTAAAAATAACGCTTTTTTTACAAAACATCTTTTTATTATCTATATATATATATATATATATATATATATATATAAAGATAAGATGATGTGAAAATTTTATCTAGATGATCATCTATATAATTTTATTCAGATAACAGCAAACACTGCGAACGAGTGATGACCTGGGTCGCTCTCACGCGTCTGCCTCTCAGCTGTGCTCACTTCCGCTAGTGAAAGGTGCATGCACTCCAGCCGCGGGCTACGATAAAATGCGCTTACGTGCATCTTCGCATAGCTCGAGCCAAGTACACCGAGTAAGTTCCGTTAGCGAACATTGCAAGCGATCCGGCCTAAAGACTCGGGTCGACCCCCGTAAATTCGTGCCTTCGTTAAAATTTTCGCAGAAAAATAGCGCGTCGAGAAAGCATCGGTACGATTATTCGCGACAAATTATTCCCGGCTCGAATAAAATAATCCGATCTCATTGAAATTCCGCGGAGGGTCTCAGGCAATGGATGATCAGCTCGGGATCTTTCACTTTGGAGCAAACGCTCCGTTATGCAATTAATCACGTGCTCGCCATTTCGCGCTTCCTAATGCATCATAAGTACGAATCTAGATAGCTGATTCGATCGATTTTCAAGACGGAAAGAGAAACGCAGAGAGAGAGAGGGATTCCAAGTAAAGAAAATTTATTCTCTTTCAATGATAATCGCAATTTTCCTCGCAATACCTCATAATAATATTATTGCTTAACCGATGCATTTTATTACATGCATTTTGACGCTTCTTTTAGTCAAATTATTATTTTATCATAATTTTCATTAAATTGCTTTTATCAAAATTATTGTTTGTTAAAATTATTTGTTTCATTATCATTTTATTTGTTTTACTATTTTCTAAATAAAAGTATTTTTATTAATGTAAATATATAAGGTATAATAAAGTATTGAACATTACGGACCTGTAACACATCGATTTTACACGACTAGTTGAGAAATTAAAATCTGTCACTGACCTTGATATTAAATTTGGAGAAGAGAACGTCAAATAAAGAAACGCATAACACTCATTATGTAAATATATTAAGAATTATTCATCAATCTTCATATTTCGTAGCCTTGATACCACTTCTCCGAAACTTAAATCTATAAGTAGATATTATGACAATATTCCAATTGTATTTTCGTAGAATTTGTTTGTTGATACAATTGTTGAATTAATTAATCATTTGAGAATTCTGATGTGTAAAGTTGATATCAGAATTATCAGAATGAATTTCATATTTGCTCAATTGTGCTGCAAATTTACATAACAAACAAACGGCTTTTTTGCAAAAATTAAGTATTATTTTAATATTTTTAAGTTAATTTTTAATGATCCATTTGACTTATAATACTTTGTGTAGCAAATTATCTTTCATAACAATTTACAGGATAATGAACATACACAATCAATCAATGATAACTGTCACTTATTTTATTATATGTTGAAACATAATTAACTTTATATAATATTTCTTAAATATTACAAATGTTATTAATACAAGTAATATTGTATATGAGATATCAAAATTTATTAAATAAATTTTCAAAAAAATATATAAAGACAAAAATGTATAAAAAATATTTACACAAAGTATTCTAAAAATATGTAAAAATTATGCATGCTTTTTCTTTTAAATGTCTCCGCACTCTTTTAATATTTTTCAGATACTTTGTATTACGCTATCATTTAAGATTTAATCTAACATTTATATTATTCAGCTTTAAAGTATTTTTATGACCACAAAATTATTTGTTATAGTGAGATAGTCTTTCCTGCAGAAAGATTCTTAAAGGCCTATTTGTTCAAATATAAAGGCAAATATAGTTGATGTTTTCCAAAGTTTATCTCTTTTATTTTTGAATATTATGACGCGCGAATTTGCGAGATGAGTCTCCAAAATGTCGTATATAAAAAGAGATAAAATCCGGAAGACATCGGGAAAATCTCGTCACGTCTGGTTTTGTGATTCTAGTGACCAAAATTTCGAAACTATTTTGTATTTCGCCGACTGCCAAATCGCATGCAAGTACGACCACGTGAACTTTTACGTCATAACTGGCACAGATCCAATCGGATTAGATATATATTTATAAAGCATCATACGTTTCGTTCGCGCAATGCAATGCAGAAGACGTGCTACGGCTGACGAGATCAAAACTCGATTGAGGGAAATTAATATTGAAATCGCATTTACACGTATAAACTTTAACTAATCATTTTATGCATAATTTCCTAATTAAAGTAAAATCAAGCTTTGTGTATCCAAAATTCTTCCAGAAAATCTTCAAGGAATCTGTTGGACTTCGATTGGATCCGCCATTCTTCTTCTTCGTTTGCAATTTGCGATGTTCGGCAGATTGTTCTGGTTATTTTTGCACTTCTTCGACCATCCACCCCATGCTTTAAATCCATCCTGATTGAAGATCTTTATCCCGCACGTGATGTCGTCTTGTATCTCATCATTAAGAAAGTCCTCGCAACGTTTGTTACATTTGCCACCTTTACGTCCCCTCGTGCACCACTTTAAGCTGTTGATCTGGAGGATACCAAAGGAAAAGCTGGATGCTGTCTTTGGACCAGTCATTAGCGTCGAATTCATCCCACTTTCGCTTCGCATCAGGCAGATCCAATTCGCGAAGAAGCTCCTATTGATGTTAGCTCGTTGCAGCTCTTTCACCACCTCACAATTTGTGTATATCTTCCCCTCCACAGGCGAACAAACAACCGCGACCGCCAAAATGCCCATGATCATCCACAATTCTCTCATCCTGCAACAATTATTCGCAGCCAATGCTGCGTCGTAGCGATTAGTACAAACAGCATCTTTTAGAATCTCTCTAATGATCAATCCAACAATTGCTTGAATTTACAAAATGGAACTGTTCCTTTATTGCTTATTGTTACTCTTTAACAAACTTAGAGACTTCAACTTGATATTACGCGAGCCTCCGGACAGAAATTTTCGCTCCGGAAGATATTCTTCGCTATCTGATGCGACATTTTATATAATTCCCGAGTTTGTCGTGGACTTACAAATAATTCCGGTAACACTACACAATCAGGTCCGTCCAAGTGGCTATTTGGAACGCTTTTTGTCGATTTAATCTCGATTTAATCTCACGTGTCTCGTCGTTGGACAAAGTTGATGATCTAGCGTATTTTGAAGAACGTAACGCTGCAAGTATTGAACTGACAATCGCATTGAGAATTCGCGCGGAAATTAGTCTCTATAAATGCGCCGTCTGTTGCGAACGATTGCGGGCGACCTTGAGCTTGAGCGATACGTTATTATCTACCAACGTCGTAATAAAGGCCGGAGGGAGCCTGTCTTTCCTGCTTTACGCTTAGATTTGCGATTAATAATAATGATTAATGATCAAAATAACGAACAATTGCAAAGATATCTATATGAGTTATAAATTTTATCTCCATTTGTTACTGCATCTCAATTAAATTCTTTTCAGGAAAAAAGAATTTTTTATCAATAGTATTATAATTAAAAAAAGACTATTTTGTAACAGTTTGTAGAACCTTTGAGAAAACATTTTCAGCCATCACTGAACCAGTAATTATCAAGCAACGCGGAAGTGTCGTAACACCAATTACTAAAGAAAAAAAAATCCTTCTGACAAGTCAACAATTTTGCCTATGTACAGGAGCTCATCAATAAGAACCTATCCGGAGTTTTATGCTTCTTTCAGCACCTCACTTTTCCGTATATCATAAATTGTCATTATCTATTAGCGTGTAGTTCTACTGTTTATTATTCGTCTTTCCTTAAATGCCATTCGCGAAAGCTTTATAAGATATCACTTACAATAACATTTGCGCGATAACACATTTGCAACAATACTTTCACAGATGTTACAGTAACAATTGATGTTTCATAACTGCGCTTTTCAAGCTATCGTTCACAGTTTTCATGGTGCAACGTACTATATAAGGAAAAAGTCGCATCATTGTTCCGAGAAGTAATATTTCATTACTATCTGTATTATCAAATGGATCATATATTACAAATTATCATTATGTACTGTTTCTAGTTATTTGCTTTCCTTCTGTTTTTCTAATGCTACTCGAAAGTTTGATAAGTTATTGCTTATTTTCCTATTAAATACAACATCAATTATTATTTTTGTTTTCTTGCGACGATTATTTCTAAATGAAGTTTAACCTAAATTGTATTTATTTATTTTTATAGTTTTAGATAGCGTGTTTGTACCGAAATTGGATACACAATCTTTACAGATATTCTTGGGAGCCTCTGATAAGCTTTGTCACTGATTCTACCTCTAATTTTAAAAAATGTTATCTTTGTATCGTAAAGTTATTTGAAACAGTATCATCACGACTGGAGAGTTTATTTATTATTAATAAGATCAATCCTTAAATAATATGTTATACATAAACTTATACAATTTTATACATGAACTTTATTTCTAGTAATTATTTAATATTTAAACCATCGCAATGATAGAAAACAGTATTTTTCCAAGATGAAAATGCAACCATTGCATAGAATACTTAGGATATTTTTGTGTGACACATTATTTCGTATTGATGAACCGGTAGGACAATTTCCAAACTTGCAATAGTTCGGTTAATGTTGAATGTCATAATATTATATTATTTAGAGCTTTTAATTATAACGATATTGAGCTAACATCTTTTCGCAACATGTTTAGTATAGATATAGATTTTAATTTTGATTTAATGTTAATGAATACATATAATTTGTGAGCAAATATTGTGTATATTATATCGAATCTATCATGTATCAGATAGCTTATTTGGCCAATACTGATTTGTACTACGCGCGATTAAATATATAGCCAGAAAATTCAGACATCAGATGGCAGTAATAAATTTTGGGGGTATGCTAAACCCTAATCGCCGAATCTCTTTCTGGTGCCGACAACGTGAGCATGTGGATGGTAGAAATAAGTAAAAGCTCTTGATAAAGGATATAATTTAGATATTCTGTTTTGTTTAGTATAGATATAAATTTTAATTTTGATTTATTATTTCTTCTTCATTTGAATATAATTTAAGTTAGAAGTTTAATAAATTCATATAGTTTCTTTCCTTTTGCTATAAACGTGCATGCTCCGATAAAACGATATTTGTTCTCGCAAGTTCTCTCCTGTTCACAGAATTATATTAAAGGCAAGTCGATTTTTTTTATCTGTATTTATTTGAATAAATTTATTTTATAAATACATTAAAATCTCAACATTTATATTATTTTACAACATTTATAATATTAACATATATAACAATTTGCAGATTTTCGATTTGCGTGTAAAGGCAACTCTTTAATAATTACGTGATTTGTACATATTGTGCATTATGGCGAATAATTATGATTTACCATATAATGTTAGAAAGGAAAAGTTACCGAAAATTGATCGAAACAATATCCAAAATGGTAAATTTATAATGCATGTATATATATTCCTAATTTTATTCTAAACTACAATCATATATAATATTTAAAGCATATAATATACATATAATAATAGTTTTAGAGATAGGCTTGCAACAAAATTTTGACAATGTTAACGTCCAATGGGTATCTTGTCCTGATCTGACTAAGGAACCATTCAATCTCGCCGCCCCAGGTAAAAGATCTGTTAACCATTTTAATTTTTTCCTGTGAAAACGTCACTATTTTCAGGATTCTCTTGCAAACCGGCATTATTGGAAGTTGGTGGTGTGTCATACTTACGTCCAAATCCAATAAAGGACAAAGGATATAACATCCAAGAAATATTACATTGTATCGATATTGACTTTGATAAAGTTTTCATTTTTGGTTCTAGTCTTTATTTAGATCCTGAAAAGAAGGAAGATTTATACCCAGTACATATCTTTGTCCACTCATACAAAACAAAATATAAAATATATATATATATATATATTATAAAGCTTCTTCATGTTAATTATTATATTACTTTATTATTTATTTTACTTTATTATATTAATTTATTATTATATTACTTTTAATATAAATTTTATTAATTATTTATTTTAATTTTCGTTTTTGTTTTAACTATCTATAGTTTTATTATTTTATCTTTTACTGTACTTTCTATTGTTGTGCAGCTTGTTATGAACGCATCATTTCCTCAAATAAACAATAAGGGAATAAAGAACTTACACCAATGGGATACCATAAATAAAAGTCGCATCATAACTGTGAATAAAGATAAATGTAATGTGGAAGAATTAACTAACGATGAACATATTGAGTGCCGTATAATAGGAACTTTCTTTCTATCCAAAGGTTCCGCAGGCAAGGATGTTCTAGAAGTACGTGCTAAAGAAAAGAATTCGACTCCTTTTTTTTCAGGTATACCAAACGCATAACATTTTAATATTTAATTACATTATTTTACCGTCAAATGATATTATTTTGACATTAAAAAGATTAATTTCTCATTGGTACCGTTTAACAGGATTTATAGATGCTATGCAAAATATACTCACAAAAGCATATCCGGAAACATTAGTCGGTAAGAAACAACATGTACATGTAATATATTTATTCAAAAAGTAATAGAAATATTCATCCTCTTTAACGAGTATTGGATATACTGTAGAAAAGTTAAAAATGAAAAAATACATATATATATATATATATATATATATATATATAATTATTTTTAAAGTAAATAATGTTGCGCTTTCAGTGTTCAAAACCAATATCTTTTATTTTAAATATATATATTTTATAAAACTTATTTTTAAAATTAAAGTATAACACTTTTGTATATTTCCTCATTAAAATAAAAAATATAAAAAATGTATATAAAATAATTTAACATTAATCTAAACAATATAATTAAACATAAACTTAACATTCTAAATAGATAAATTGTATGTGTTTATTTTCATAGTTTTAGGTGGCGTATATGTACCGAAAAATGGATTTTGGAAACACCATCCTTATAGAAATTCTTGGGAGCCTCCGATAAGCTCTTCTACTAATCCTGATTTATCAGACTACAAATCTCCTTTTTGTATTGCACAGTTTCCTGAGGCAATAATTACCACATTTAGCAGTAGCACTATTGGAGAATTTAAGAGTTCACCAGAATGTCCACCAATAGTAACATCAATTTTTAATAAGCTTTAAACTTAATACATTATATAATTTTATACATGAACTTTATACAATTTTATATACATAAACTTTTTATTTCCAGAGATTTACTAGTAAAATTATTCAATGTTTAAACCATCGTAATGGTGTGGGGGAGTCATTTACCCCAAACGAAGACGAAAACATAGAATATTTAGGATACTTTCGTATGGCACGCACATTGATTCGTATTGATGAACCGCTTATATAATTTTCAAACTTGCATTATTTTGGTTAATATCAGCAAAATTTTATTATTTAAAAGTTTTAATGATAAATTTTACATTTAAATTTCTAATCTTTTTATACAATTGTCTACATTCAATTTTTCTGAAGAGCGCATTCTATTAAATGCTATATATAATAATTAAATGATTATAGTTAATAATTTGATAACATAATAATAAAAAATATATATGTATAAAGTGTTACAATAATAATGAACTTATTTGCTTTAATGTTTTCAAAACATTTTTTGACAATTTATTAACAATTTATCCTTATTTCAATGAAAAGAGATTACTGTAATTGCAACGAAATTCTATTATTTAATTAATACAATACAGAGATTGGTAATACAAATTGATAATGTACTTTATATATTAAAATACTATTAATGTTCCAATTAATAATAATTATAAATTTATTTTTATTTATATATATAATTCAGCAATATATATACATATTATGCACATCGACTTGATTGAAATTATATTCTTAGGAGCTTTGATTGTGTCCTACGAACCATTCAAAATATCTCATTACTGTAATATCAACTTACCTGAATAGTAATTCATTTAACAGCAGCACTACAAGATTTCCATATTCAGAATTTCCGCTAATAATAACATCAATGTTTAAACTTTCAAATATATATATTATACAGAATTTATATAGACTTTTCTAGAAATTGACTTGTGTAAATCTACTCATTCTTTATGAATGCCACACACACAGATGCCATTATTTATATAGTTAAATATAAAATACATAGAATACTTTTAGCCGGCACAAAAAGGGTATTATATTGAATCGCTCACTAAATTTAATAACATATGAAAATGATATTATTAATTACTATTAATTATTATTAAATATTTAGATATCATATTTTATTTTAGGAGAGTGACAAGATTATTATTACTTAACATAACAACACGCTTCGTTTAGCAAAGCGTGAGAATGATATTCTGCGATTATTGCAGTCTTTTACCTGTGTAAATATATAAGAAATTCAGTACAATGATAATTGAAAAGAGTATCTGCATTTACAGATTGATAATACATACATTTAAAAAGAAAAGAAACTTATAAAAGGCACGATAATATCACATTTATTTATTATAATATTTATAAATAATAAACTTACTTACTAAACTGATTATTTTATAAAATGTGACGTTTGATTCCTATAAAAAATGTTGGTAATTGCAACTGCAAAAGTAGACAATATCGGTTTATTTTCAGCTTATCGATAAAAAAGATCACTTGACGGTAAAAATAATATTGTTTTACATAAACTAACAACGAAAATGGAAACCATTTTTGCACACGTAAAAATCTATTAATATGTTTACAATGACTTTGGTAATTTTTATTGTCTCTTTCAGATCTAGTCTTTTCAAAGATCATTACGCGTAATATCTTTATTTCACAATTAAAACCTTAAAATTTTCAATCAAAATTTTGATATATTATATATATACATTTTGTCATACAGTGACACGTTAAATTATAGTAATTTTTATTTGTTCGTCTCGCACTCTATATATTTACAACGTTTAAATAATTAAAAAATAATAGTAACGAAATATTCTGGCACCGAAGTTTAGAGTTCTGATGGTCCATTCATCAATTTAACACATTATAGCTAGTATATCCCGTAATTAAAAAGCCAAGGCGTAACGAAAAAAATATGTTTTACCTTGATGGGATACATATTATTCACAGGTCTCTTATATATGTAATTTATAGCAAAAATTAAACTGTTTTTCAAAATAATATAATTTTCGACAGCCCCCATTTCACAGATTTATCACTTTGATTTCGAATGAATCGATTAACCGGCGGGATTGGTCCTCTTTTGTCTTCTCTCTTTGGCAAAGCGCAATATGTTGGGATTGGCGTAAATCATGTCTGCCAAAGTGTCGACCCCGGCGTACGTGTCGGTCTTGGATCCAATACACATGGACAACTGTAGACTGGAAAGCTCCCTGTTGCATTCTATTTCATGATACACGTGCACCAAGTGCCTATCCGCCGCCCTGAAGACATCGAGATCCGATTTAACCGCCTTCTCGAAGAATTCCACGTCCTCCTTGCCCCATCCTTGAATCGAGAGATCCAAACCGCCCAAGGCACGATAATCTCTTTTATACAGAGAGACGATCCCGAAACCGTACTGCCTCCAGTGTCCAGAGATCTCGTTTATGGTAAACTTGTCCTGCTTTCCGGCCTCGCCGTAAACGACCTTAGGATCATATTGACTGAAAACGATCGGAAAGTACATTCTCCGACCTGGTAGCGTGTTCAGCCGTATCTTGTTCAACGCCGAACTCGTGAACACAATGTCCACGTCGATGAACAGCAGTAGATCGTCCGCCTGCAGTCTCGACACGCCCAAGTCTAAAGCTCTGGCTCTGGAAAAGTCTCCGGAAACCGGCAGAACCTCTATACTGGCAGTGCGATATTTGTACTTGAGCTTCTCTATCAGATCTATCGTCTTGTTGAGAGAGTTTTCGCTCTTGTGTTGGTAGAGCACGACGAGCAAAGATGTCTTCTCGCCGCTCGTCAAACAGATGTCTTCGTAATTCTGAAGAAACCTTTGGAAAATTTCGTAGCGACCTGACAGAGGTACGATAAAGTTTATGGTCTTGCTCCGTACCGGATCTTCCTCCTCCGAGTTGAAATTAAGATTCAGAAAACCACCGTGAAATAAATTGTGAATAGACTTGTCATCTGATTTCGGACGAAATTCAACTTCGACTCCATTCACTGTCTCGCGTATTTCTAATCCTGCAAGAACATTTGTCGATTAGATATTAAGTACTTAGTAAATTTAAATAGTTATTGCTTTATGTTATTTACAATATTTATCGCAAATTCAATTAGTATATAAGCGTTAGATTGTGTATCTAAATTTTAAACTTTAAACAGAATAATTAAATAATGATTAAATTAATTATAATTCGATAAAAGTTGAAATTTTTTATAATCTCTTTCGTACATTAATTTGCATTCAAATTTTTTAACTATTTAAACAATGTTTCTTTTTGACTAATATGTTTACATATATAATATACAATTTTTTTATTTAATATGAGATACAGAAAAAATACCTTACCTGAATATAAAGTAATCGATTGATTTTCCAAAGTTCAATGTATCAGAGAGACTTTAGAAAAATAATTTTATTTACGATAAGATTTTGACGTGTATACAATTTTGCAATAAAAAGCGCGAAAGACAAATTATAAAAATCTCGATGAGAGTACCAGTGAAATGTTGATGGAGATAAACGTGTCGTCTGACGGGAAGAGTAACTTTCCTGCCCCGGTACTTCCGATACACTAATAGAAGATCTAATATGGTGTCGGCCCCATAAGAGTTCACCCTTCTGTATCCATAAAGGGCTGATCGTTCCTCGACAACGCGACCGCGCTGCCGCGAATAGGAATTGATGGAGGCCATGACCTCCCTCGTGATATCTTCCAGACCCTCCTTGATGTCGCTATGAATACGCCGCCTTGGATTGGAATCGGTCAAACTGTACTCCGCTCTCGAAAGAAAGTCCCATGGGATCACTTCGTCGCTCGTCGTCGGTTTGAACGAACGTAAACTCGTCGGCACACCTGCGCAAACAAAATTTTATTTTACGAATCAATGAATCCAACCGGTTTCCTTATTTAGCATCAATTCACAAAATTACGTCTCTTGAAAATGCATCGCGAAATAGAGCTGAAGTCGAGCAGTTAAAAATATTCTGGTAAGAAATAAAAGTTATTTATTCATTACGATAAATTTCTTTCCACTCTATATTCAATTATTTTATTAATTACTTTATTAGATTAAATTATTAAAATTATAAGTAAAAGTATAAAATTAAATTTTACATCTCAGAGTATAAATAACTTTTATTTCATCTTCTCAATTTCTGTCAATATTTCTTACAAAAATATTTCAAGTTATATATTTTGATTTAAAATTAAAAACCAAAGTTTTATCTCGAAAGGTAAAAGGTGACATATAAATGTAAACTTTGTTTCTTAATTTATGACAGTTTTAGTCGAGCGTTTTAATATTAAATCGAACATATCTTATATATTAAAATTGCATTAATTATGCAAAATGTAGCATTTTGTTTTAAAATTTCAATGATCTTTGAATTGCTATCTCATCTGCAATTACATTGGAACTCTACGTTTATCTTCATTTTCAGTCGATTAATTTAGATATTTATCGCAGATTTATATATACACGAGAATTATGTAGATCAACCAATATGATGGCTGCATAAATCTGCAAAAGATAGGAAATAGAAGTGATTGAAATAATAATGATATGACTCTTTCAATCATTTACGTTCCAGTTGCATAAAAGTGTATACTCATTTTACGTCTTTATACTAGATCAATTTACTGATCCAGTTGAGAGCAGATTTATCAATAAAATTGTCAATCATTATTAAGCTCATTGCTTAATAAATTTAAAATATCATGACAAAAAATATTGATTAAAATGGATTAATTTATTTCTGTAAATTTCTCGAGTATATCAGGAATTAATTTTCAATTATTTGAATATTTATATTTCCTTACTTATTATCATCTGTTTTGCCTACATATTGCCATCACTTAACAATGCAATTTTTTAAATGTCAAATTAAAAATTATTTTAATATTTATTTTTTTCTACAAAGGTCACGCAATTATCAAAAATTGAAATGGAAATATATGCATAAATACATGTGCATATATTAAAATCACAAAAAGATACAGAATAATAAATTCAACGATTGCAAAGCAAATTTCTGGTTTCAAAGATAAGAAATTTGCAACGCGTCGTAAGATACATGAATTCAGTCTGAGATTTATAATCTATATATATATATATATATATATATATATATATTTGTGGTAGGGTTATTTTGTGACAAGAAACAAAAACACGATGTAATGTAACACGAGAAAAGATCCAGCGCGATAATAAATACAAAGTCATGCATCGCGATTCTCTCTCGTCTCTCCGCAAGATTGCATATCCGGTTTCAAATAGGTTTATAATCCCTTCCTCCCTCTATCCCCCGGAATATGATTTGATGCGGTTGTCATGTATATCATGATGTAAATGCGGAAGTGTTAATTTAATAGCGATATACGAGTAATAGTTATGTAATAAAAAGTGCGACTCGTTCTGAAAATATCTCATGCTTCGAAAGATTGCAGAAATGTGTAGACAGAGGAGGGAAAATAATGATATAAACAGTATAAAAAATTATGTAAGCATTAACATTGTAACAAAAAATTTATATGACAAATCGTTGTTATTTTTTAGTCTTATGTTTGTAAACTTGTGAATATTTGCAAATATATTATTGATTATTTAAACTTGAAAATAATCGATGAATGTAGATATTTAGAGGAAGACAGATAAGAGTATGTTTTTTATATACAAAGCTATGTAATATATTAATTAATTTAAGATAAATGCAAAAATGTTACGAATGTAAATTTTTGTATAATCTAAAAGGCAGTCTTAGCTGTTTAATGACTGATAATTTAGCATTATATAGACTCTCTATCCTTTCTCTTTTTATAAGACATGAATATTCATGTAGATGCACACACGACGTACAGTTCGGCTTTTATAGCCGGTTTGCGATAGCGGAAGCGAGAAATCACCTAGTATGTCCGTGTCGCCGGGGTAATCTTCGGAATTAGGATCAACCGGAAAAAGACGTACACCATCCGCTATTTCGTAATTCCTTAAAGTTTCAAGGCTAACTCCTAATTCCTGGGCCATCATATGAATGTCTCTATGCAGATGAATCCTCTCTTGTTGCAGATCTTGTATCCGCAGTCCCTACAAAAGTTTAATTTAATAGATTTAATAGAGAATCAACAAAAGACGATAATAATTTAATATTAATAAAAAATATTAATTTTTTAACATTAATAATATTAATCGTTGTTAATTTTATTAATTTTAATATTAACGGTACAGTTTTTAATAGTAACAATTTAACATCAAGAATTCGTATAATTCGAGAGAACCGCGAGAGCAAAATGATCTCCTCTTTGCATCGTTCACGCTTTGTTCGTTACGCATGTAACGGTTATCAACAGGTTACTCTACAGTTAAGGATAAGTAAAATTGTAACGTAGTATACCAGTAGTTTTTCCTGTAATTATAATGATTACCATAATTATAATACTTGACACTAACCCTCATGTAATTGTGCAGTCTGTACATGTGAGGAGGACTTTTTATAGGATGCAAAGTAATGGCACGATGAACTTCCTTTTTCTTGAGACTTCCGGTGAATGCCTGAACTCCGCTGCTGTTGTGATAAAGAATGGACTGCATCTACGGCAATATATGCAGATATATCGAATGTATGCGTGAGGGGAATGAGTTTAATACGAGAGTTTCAAGAATGATCGTATCTGCCTAACTTATTTTTTTTTTCGTGACAACGATTAAAATCATTATATCTTTATATTTCAAAAAACATCGAGGCAAAAAAAAATTATCGTACTTTGATTTCATTCGCAACTTTACAAATCACATCAATTTTTTTCTCTATATATTCTTTTTATATTAATTTATATTATATCAATTGTTTTTTTATATTTTTAAAATTTATATAAATTAAACGAATACTATAATTATAAAAAATGTGTTAATTAAGATAATTAAAGTAAAAGAAAATCTTTTGTGCCAGAACTTGCAGAAGAACGCGGCCACCCTTATTCGGTAATTCTCGCGGTCGCCCTTCTTCGATAATCCTCGATCGACACGCCGGACCAAACTTTGAGTTTAAGAACGACAAATTACTCGATTGAATCGCGCTCTCGCTTAATCATCGTGACAATGGTATCGCGTCTGTCGATTCCACGCGAGACGGCTGTATTAGTCCGCCCCGAATGTCTGAATGCATGCACAAGCGAGCCTCGGCAAATGGCAATTAGCGCGGACAGAAGCGGAGTTAAAGTACGAACTTCCTGCCTATGTATGTGTGTGTGTGTATGTGTGCACTACGGTCTACAATAATTACTATTAAGAACGTTCGTATTGTCTCTGCGCTACTCGTATCGCCCGAAATACCGATTCCGCGAAGCGTGTTAATCAGGTGTTACTGGGTGTGGTGGTTTCTTGTTTCACAGAATTACGTCGGCGATTCTTGAGTTAAAAACAAGCATCTCTTGTAACGTCACAAGCTCCAAGTATTATAATGTAAAAAGGATGAATTTTGTTCTTTAATCCTCCCCCTATCATCCCTAATAAAATGGACGCAATTATGGAATATGGAAGCAACTCCAATTTTTTTATTTTGAAATTTTTATTGCAAATTATATCTGAATCAATCAGGCACAATTTGCAATCAAAATCTCGAAAATGGTGATTGCATCCCCCTGGTTATAAATCAGGCAAAAAACTATTGGAAAAACACGAAAGAATAGCATTGAAAATTTCTAAGACATTTTTGACAATGTATATTTTTACTGATTTTAATGTGCAAAAAAAATTCTTAATTATAAAAATGATAAATGCAAATTGACTTATTATTTTTCTTTCTGATAAACCGTGATTCCATGAACAGAATAATATTTCTGTTCTGGAAAATGCGCACGCACTTAATTAATCTGTTTCGTGGAAGAGATTGAATAAAATCTCGTTTGTGGTTCACACTTGCGCAATATTCCATTCAACTTTCGCTATCGTCCCCCTAAAGACCCGTAATTTCGCGGAATTAACGTCGCGGCGCGTTGTTGATCTCGACGGTCGTAAGTAAACGCATAATTAACAAAGGCATGCTGCCAAGATCGTCAATCCCCTTTATCGAATCTCGTGCGCGCCTCGATCAATCAATCAATCGATCAAACAATCAATCACGGCGCGCAAAAGTGGCCAGCATACAAACATTAGTGCTATATAGTGCGCAGACGTAGCATACGTGTCGTACACACGGGGATTGATTGTTATAAGTGTTTCGACCTTACGTCAAGTGTCAAGACGGGAACGAATGGTTCTCTCCAGGCAGTGGGTTAGCAGGCTACGATTTGTTCTCGGACCTTAACGAGTAACATCCTCATCCGTGCACTTTACCTTTCGTCACGGCACACATGTAATATCATTGCAACGCGTGTCACATCAGGATGCACCCACGCAAGTGCATAGGCAACTGCAATTCCATATTGCTCTTGTAGGGGAAACAATACATTTATCTTTCGCATATAATGGAATATACATGGACGCAGTCATGCAATATGGAACCAACTTCAATTTTTTATTTCGAGATTTTTATTGCAAATTATGTCCAAATCAGGCACAATTTGTAATAAGAATTTCGAAACAGAAAAATTGATGATTGCATCCCCCCGGTTAAAAATCAGGTAAAAAATCGTTGGAAAAACACGAGATAATAGCATTGAAAATTTCTAAGATATTTTCGACAATGTATATTTTTACTGATTTTGATGTGCAAAAAAATTGATGAAGATGAATATAATGGATAATCAGCACCAACAATAAATGTATGAAACCGATATTATTCATTTGGAGAAAGTCATATCGCATATATTTCGCAATTAAATTGTTATGCAATTTCTTGTAAGTAAATTTCGCCTTGATTCATTTCGAAATCTCCATTTCCTTCTGCAGATCTGTTTTTTTGCAGATTTGCGCATCAATTCTATTTGATTATCACGAAGGTTCGAGCAAACTGTTATTTAAGCGATTACAACCGAGTGTCAAGATGAAGAAGAATGGGCTCGATCTAGCCACTAGGTTAGCAGGGTACGATTCACTTTTACTTAACGACTAACATCCTCATCTTTGTATGCATTGTACCTTTCGTGTATCTAATCCATCTAATTCTAACCCGGGCTGCATAATGCAGACGCGTAAAGTATTTAAACCGGTAAAATATACAACACAGTAGGGGTACACCCGTTATGTGAGCATTGCGCTCTGATTCCCAATTATGTAACGCGTTACGCGAAATCTGCGATTTAAAAGAAAAAGAAAAAGAAAAAGAAAATTAATTCTTTGAAAAAGAAAATTAATTCTCTGGCGTATATCCCGAGATTACGTGAATACTTAACGCGAACAAACGCGCGAGGAAATCAATTATTTACGCCAATTATCCATTAACGATCGCGAAATGAACGTATATTATCGGGATTAAAAAGAGCGAGTTGATTGCTATTCCTTGTGATACGTGTCTAATCTGCCTAATACATACGCATTAATCACGAAATCATTAGCCGTTTCTAAAGGCTCGTACAGAGAACCTTTGAGACAAGGAAGATAAAACGACTAAAATAGCTTCGGTTTCGGGTAACAATACAATACGGGTCACATAGTTCGTAGAATTTTAAGCATGAGAAGAAAAATCCTGCTTTATGGCTTGGTATATCCTATTAACTTTAATCGATACAATAGCAAAATCAATTTTAAAATTTATAAAAAAATAGCGAATACACAAGTAATAAGAATAATATATAAATAATATTTCCAAATTGAATTCTAAAAAAAGAATTCGAACTAAATTCTGTAACAACCGATTTAATTGGAGATTTTTATCCGTATCAAAAATATATTATAATTGTCTTCGAGATTTCATTCAAGTTACGTTATTGTCTTGATATTGAAAAATGGACGATCGAGTATGTATGACATGAAGGTGCAATAATGTGTTGATCATGAGATAGTATTTAACATGTACTTTAAGCGCCTTACGATAAGATAAAAAGTAGTCGAAATACCAATCCACGTACTACAATAAGACGTACCGTACATTCTCGGTGATAAAACGAACGAATCGATAGACTGCGATATATTTATACTCTCTCTCTCTCTCTCTCTCTTAAATTTATTTTATTTTTATTCACTTAAAAATAGTAGTAAATTATTTATTTCCTGATTCAATGATCTAATTCTCACATGTTCAAGTTATGTGATATTTACTTTTGAAATATGCAACATGAGATTTTGTTATATTTTTAAAAATATTTTAAGACGAAAAGTTAAAAAAAATAAACTCTCCTCTTATAAGAATTATCTATCATCACTACTTTGTCGCTCTTGTTCGCATTTGTAAAGAAATATTCTTTTATCTGTGTTACATTTTATCTGTATACAATCACAGTAACTCACTTTTTCATATACATTAGAAACTCGGAAGACAATTACCTCGTAACTCCAAGTGCAAGGAATTCCCGCGTACTTTTTCACGCATCTGCCTAGCTCGACGTCCTCGTGGGTGGTGTACAAATGGCGCAGGCAGTACTTGATGTGCGGTACGATCCTCCCGAGAGTCTCTCTGGACAGGACCACCCCGGGACCACCCATGCAGAAATTCTCATCGTACTCCAACGACAGCAGCCCGAATTCTTCCGAGTTGCCTCTGCCGGCTTGTCCGATGTACATCGCTCTTCTGGAATCGACGGATCTCAGCAGCTTCTCCAACCGATCTGTCCTTACGTATACGTCATCGTCCGCCCTCAAGAACCACTCGAAACGATCGCCGAAGTTGCTCCACATGTACTCCAACATCATAAAGGACTTCTTCTGCGGCGGATAGGTATCGTCCACTCGCGGAAGCGGCACCAACGGCAAATCGGGGCAGTTTTCGGGTATCGTCGAGGATTCCGACGAGAAGAAGGCTATCTTGCCGGGTAATTCCTTGCCCCAGGTCTCGTAGACGGCCTTGGCTCGTGTGTCCAAGTACTTTTGAGCCGTCATCACGCCTACGAACAACAGACTCGAGGTGGAACTGTTGATTCGCTCGTCGTCATTTAACCTTGGTACGTTTCGAACCGACGCTCTTGGTGGTGATCGTAAACCAGGCATGGAAGTCCAGATGGCGAACTGCTGTTGCTGATTGGAGACAGTAAGACGATAGCTGAGGATCAGAAAACCCAAGATCAGGCCTACGAAGAGGCCCAGAAAGGCGCTGCCCAGTCCACGCCGTTTCCGCATCACTGGGTGGTACGTCACCTCTCCCATTTGCGCTCTTCAGGGGTCCCTGGGTCCTCGGTCAGGTTCATCATGGTCATGGGGTTCGCCGAGATTGCCGACTCAGGTATAGTAATTAACCCCGCTGAAGAATATCCCTTGGGCAATCCCATCGTTCCGACCGCTGCTAAAACGGAAGGATGTTTTTCAAGATGTAGAGAGCATCTGAGAAGAAAATTTGTTCAGCATTAGTTTAGTTTAGATAGTAGAATTAAAGAAATCAAATTAAATATCTTTTTTTCCTTTATTATTTATTATTATAATTTTTATTCATTTCTCTCCCCTATCTTTCTCCCAAAATATAATTGCATACAAATACAACGTTATATAATCTCTGTTATTTTCTACATAAATATTTATTTTTTTATAGAATTCTACATTTATTTAATCGATATGATTAAATATTAAAATGTAAGCTTTTCAATGTAAATTACTCTTATATTATACGAAACCATTATATTTACTATACATTATACGCATGTATAATATGTATTATAATTTCCATATTCAAAATACATTATACTTTATTTTATTTCATTATAAATTATATTCATTATACACTATATAAATAAATATGTCATTAATATACATGACTATAGATTTTAAATTTTAAATAAAATAAGAAATATTCTCTTACAAGAGACAGATGGCATTCTGTCTTGGAAAAAAAGAGAAGCAATATGTGCTTGAAGCAAACAAATTCTGGAAATAAAGTAGGCCTTGATTTTCGTCCTGTGTTATTTGTAAAGTAAACACTTTGACTGTTTGAACTTTGTTTCTCTTCGCGAAACTGCCTTTTAGTCGATTAGTCATTTCTCTTTTTACTCAAGAACCGCAAATTTAATTATTCGCGTTACATCGAAATTCAGTAAGAACTTTAACTTATATAATGAATAAATATAAATATATCACAGCAAAACTCACATCAAATTTTTGCTTCAAGGTGAAGAGAATTGCCATATCGCGTCAGTGATTTCGATGATATTATATGATCGAAATGCATCTGCCTGCGAGGATCTGAAAGCGCAAAGGGGATTATAAAATATTAAAACGAGTCATTGAAAATTAATAGCCACAAAGAATTAAATCCAATATGTACAGCTACATGAAGAACGAGGTCGCAAGCATATTAAGCGAAAACTCAAATGGACGTCAGCAATTAATACTCAGCCATTTTTCACTCAAATCAACATCAGCAATTAATACTCAGCCATTTTTCACCATCAAGTATTGTTTGCGATCAACGCTTCATTATAACGCCAATCATGACATCGACAAAAAGATACATTATCTTTTTATATCAGCTCGAACAACATGAAGTCAATTAGTATATAAGATAAGATTCCATATGATTCCATTTCAAATAATTTGTGTTTTAGCAATTCCAATTATTTTCCAAATCTTTTATGTTATATTTTATGCAATTATCATGTTAGTTATAATTTTTAGTTTTCTGTATAAAATGCTTATTGATTTATATGCAATTTAACTTATATATTGTATATTATATTGTTTTTAATTTATATATATATATATATATATATATATATATATATATATATATAAGAAACCTTAAATCTCTTTAATGTGGGACTTTTATATATTTATGTATCGCGCAAAACCGACACATATATATAGATTACGGATTCCAGAAAAATATTTCTGCACATTTAAGTATATTTAATGCTCCACCCTATCTATGACTCACGATAACGAAAATGGGAACAAAGCGAGACTCTGTTTACATATATACCTAGAATGTCATGAAATGTATAACGAACGAAATAGTGTGTCTAGAAATGAGAACCCGACGCCGTTACAAGACTTTCTTCGACGAATTAATCGCGCCGGTTCTGTTATTTTCACGATCCAGGAATACGACATTCCATTTGCGCAGATTACTTAAGCATATATGTATGTAAAGTATTTTATATTATTTCTTCTAAGTATTTTTCGTATTAATATCTGTAATTAAATAACTGAATTTTTTTGACCAAATATATTTATTAACTCCGAATAGTACGTCTCTTTTTTTTCTCTGTCACTTTAGTCAAATTAATCGTAACCAATATTTGCAATCGGGGAAAAGAAAATATTGGATGATCAAATATTTGTTCAGCAAAAGAGCCATTGCACAGTGAACATTTTTTGCGAAACTTAGATCGATCTTCGCCGCAAAGTTTAAAAGAGACCAAGGTATAATTTTTTTCCTTTATTTTGAACCCTTCATCCTAAATTGCGCATCCACGTCATTATCTTAAATTTATTCTCTTTGAAATCGGCGTAGACAAAGACTCGATTCTTGCCGAAACCGGTTTCGGGTCAGCTAATATATACGTACGCGTGCATACCATATATATCGACGAAATAACTGTGAAAAATGAGTTCGCTCTTCGACCAATTTTTGCTATTCTATCTGATGTGAACCACAAAGATCGCGCACGTAAATTCGCCGGCTGTTTTTCGCGACTAAATAATTTTGAAAGATTTTTCTTCCAACATTTCTCGAGAGAATGTCAAATTAACATAATATTGTGTAATTTTGCGTAATTATTTAACGTAATACACATGTGCGGCAATTTTTCTAACACCTGGATTTGATTCTTCAGGTGATATTTCAGATATTATTATTGAAACAAATTGAGATAATGCTTGAAAAAATTAAGATACCAATCGAAAATCAAGATAACAATTGATGGATAATTGAGCTTATGTAATAATACGTTTTCCTCACTAATTCATTATTTATAAGAATCGTGACCGACTATTATCGTTGATTGTTTTTAAGCCATTTTCGCACGCATGCTTCCGTTCACACATATTACACAAGAATTATTCGAGAGAGAAAGATACGCATAATTTACCCTTAAAAATTCTTTCAAAGGTCAGCAATCTTATGCATACGTTATCATTATAACGAGCGATTCAAATTCGCTCTAATCTAACGTTCAATCTTCCTCGTTTCTTGCATATTTATTAAATTATTCACGAATAATCATTTAGAGTCATCTTCCAATTATAGCTCGCATTAAAGAAGCACACGTTAACGTGGCATATTTTTTCTCATTAAACACCGCATGCATATTTCGCTCGGGATAAAATAAATTTAAACATGATATCCTCGCATTTATTCCATAGCTTCCATCATGTAATAAGTATTACAACAAAATTTTTATTACGGTGTGAAATTTATTTTATCCCGAGAGAAATAGAAAAATAATTTTTTACACTTATTATTTGCGTAAAATTTATTTTATTTATGCTGTGTCAACAAATTAAATTCGCACACACAAATCACATATTTTTCACCAAAAAAGAATAATTTTTTATACTTATTACGCGTTGTAAAATTTATTTTATATTAAGAGAAATGGAAAAATAATGTTTACACTTATTATATTTATGTAAATAAATTAATTTTATTTCTACGGTGTGAACAAATTAAATTTGCACACAAATCACATATTTTTCACAAGAAAAAAATTTGCACATAAACATCTCGCGGATGCAAAATCACCGACCGATACCGGAAAGATCAGCAATCAATTGTCATTTCAAACGGAAAGAAATGCGTACCGAGTTCTCGATTACGATCGGTGACTCTTTCTGCGCTTCTTCCGGTATCCAAAGAAGAAGAAAACCATGCTGATCGAATGCAAGAACCGTGTTGTGGTAAAAAATCGTGCTTTGTCAATCGAATCTTTCCGTCGAAGAGGAGTAGCCGTACACTCGGTAATCGCGATTTACACGCTCGGCTGTTGAAATCGACGAAATCCCGGTGTTCGTCCCGTTAAAGGATACGCTCCGGAGTGATGTGCGCGAACGAACTCGAGTAGAGGAACGTAAGAAAGGCGGGAGAACCGGTTTAAGCCGAAAGTCAGAGCCGAAGAGCGCCGCTAGATCGGTGCGTTCGGAGCCGTCTAGCTGATTACAAAATGAGGAAGCGATGCATTTTAGGTCAAGGCGGTCCTTTAAAATGGAATTACACTTTAAGTGCCACGACGGCGGAGACATGTCGTCGAAAGAGCGGGATTATGGAAAAAAGAGAAGGTAAGAAACGATCGATTGTGTTGCTCCAGAAAATTCACATTGAATTCGTATTCAATATTTCATTGTGAGAAGATTAATTTCTTATATTTAAAATATATGTAGAGAATTTTCTTTTAGAATTTACCCTGGAAATCATGATAATCGTAGGACAATATGGTATTTAAAGAATTTTTCTGATTAAAGTAAGTTTTTCTGATTAAAATATTTATTACAATGAAAAATATTAATATGTATACATACATAGTAAAATTAATCGAACATATTTTATATCTTATTGTGATAGATATTAATATTTTTATTGTATAATAAATATTAATCAGAGAGAAATTCTTATAAAATTCTTTCAACATCATATCGTCCCACGATTATCACAATTTTCGGGGTAAATTCTAAGAATAAATTCTTTCTGTGTTATATTTAATCGCTCGCGAAAAAGATAAAAATTAATTTTTTTATTGAAAAATTGAGAAACGAGAAAGCAAGAAATTTCATGAATTTTGTGTGAAGAATTCTTGTCGCCAAGTAAATCTTCGTTAAGTTGATGCTAGATATTTTTTTAGGCTTACGTAAATATGAATTATATATATTATAGCTAAAAAATATATTTGTTTTTATAAATGTCAATTGCTCCATAAAACAAATTATGCTAAATTAATCTTAAAGTAAAATTTTTTATCCAGTCTACGCAGTTACTTCAAATTAATCTTCTTTTATACGAAATTAAATTTTATTATTTATATATTTTGCTTCTGCAAAGCTAGAGAGAAAAAACTTCTCCTTTTATACGATATATGTATATAATGATGAACTGATATTTTTAAAAACGTTCAATTTTAATATTAATTAATTTCAGAAGAATTACAAAAAAATTTTTAAATAAAACAAATATTGAATATTAAATTTATAACTGTTTATATCAATTTTAAATATACATATACATATATATCGTAAAAAATAACTGTAGATTGAAAAGAAATTTCGCCTTTCGTCGTTCCTCTTGCAAATATTAAAAATAGACCTACCACAATGGACACAGACATATCAATATTCATAAGACATCGGGTAATCCGCAACGTCAAGTAATATAGAAATTTGTTTCATGCATATGGAACTCTCGCGAAAGCGGTTGGTAGCTTCTCATAACAAAACGAACGAGTGTTTGAAGACGCGTCGCGGTTAGTCGGCCGTGAAAACCGTCGGTTTGCATTAACGCGACGAAGATGCGATGATGGGACTGCATGCTCTTCAGATCGGGTCGTCACTCGAACGAAAGAAAGAGAGGATCTTCTTCGCTAATTGTTCCCACAGACGACCAGACGCAGAATCGTACGTCTGACCGCAGATGACGGCTATATGACCAGATTGTCGCGGTCGCGGTACGGAATCGAAGAGAGAGGAAGATTCGATCTCTCGCGACCGGTAGAAACTGGACGACCGAAGAGAGGAAGTCATCGACTCTTTCGCGGATCACGATACAGCTGCGAACCATAGCAAATTGCCTCGTCGTTCATCAAACGACTTTATTTCTCATGCTTTAGTTAGTAGAGCTTCGTTTTTAGAATCTAATATACATATATACAGGGTGTCCCAAATGTATCATACGTTCATGGGAGACCTAAGGTTATTTGAAGACGATTTTTCCTCAGCGAAAATGTCGAGGAGGATCATAATTTTTTTAATGTTACCAATTTTTGAAATCATGTATCTTTGTAATTAAGTTTTAAATTAAAATTCAATAAAGGAAACTTTACCTGAAATTAACTTAAAAATGTAGTTTTGTTAATAATTTATTTTCACAAGGCTTAGTTTACAAAAAAGCTTTCATTTTCAATCGTTTATAACTCGAAAATTATTGGTGCCTGGACATTTTCGCTGAGGAAAAATCGCCTCAAGAATTTCCCATTAACGAGTGATACAGTAACTCTGGGACGTGTATATTTCCAAATATAATTATAGATCTTGAACTTCAAATCTAATCTTATCGTGCACTTGTACAACTTTAACTGTATCTCCTCGAATGGCGTTCTAGGTCCGTTAATCGGAATTTTATCGTAAATATTTCTATGTTGAGATGATATGCGAGTTTGACTCACATTTATGAAATTTTTTTTATCTATATTAATTTTTTATATATATTAATAATCTCCCTTATATAATTTTAATCTCACCTAATCTAATTTGAAAACAAAAAATATTTTAGCAAATAGAGATTATGGGGAGTTCTATCTTGCAATCATTGAAAAATTATATAGTTTAATGTTAATATGATAGAATAACATTTTAATATTTTTATCACATAATATAATTTGTAAATCATTTTACTGTTTTATGAACAGTTTGTCTTTTGAACGATATGACGAAAAATGATGCAAAAATTGATCTTTGAAGTTCCCTCAAAATTTCTAATGTGCAATTAATCAAGTAGATATTTCCATATTTCTTATTCTTGCTATAAAAAGCAATATAAAAATTTGAGAAAAATCAATTCGATATTAAAATGAAGAATTATTATCTTGCTACATTAATTCTGATTCATTACATTCGACATGCCATTTCATCGCTAATTAAATGAGCTATATCAGCAGATTAATATAATCAAACAATAAGAATGGAAAAATGATTGCATTATAAAGAGAGTTTATAAAAATTATTTTAAAAAACAATATATATATATTTATACATATATAGACTGAAAAAAATTTATTAAATTTGAATAAATATCTATTTCAATACTGTCTTATTAATCATTTATATGAAATTAATAATATTGATTTGATGTGAAAAATACATATATATATTTAACATACATATTCAACATATATATTGAAAAAATCAAATATATCATCTATGTAATTTCATTTTCTTAAAAAAGGCACAAGTTTATTTATTTTCATTTAATAGTTACGTACACGTCATCTCCGCGTTTCCGTGAAATATATGATCAGAAGCAAAAATAAATTTCTCTCTTTCTTTCTCCAGGAACTTACTTTTTATTAGAACATCACCGACCGTTTTTATCATCGATCCCACCCACGGGACCTTGTTTCCATTCGCGCACGTGGTGTTTTGACCTTTCATGACGAAAAATGTCGCACGCAGGCGTTATAATTTTGCTCCAACAATTATAAATCACCAAAAACCACAAAATCGAATCCACACGAATTCACTCACAGATGACACTTTATAAACGCAACTTCTGACGGTCTCTTCTTCTCTGAACAATCGATTTACTGTCAATTATTTTTTTTTTTTATAATTCTGTAATGCAGTTTTAATCGACTTATCACTTCTCTAAGATTTAAGTAGAGAGAAAGAGAGAGTTGTAATTATATTTAAGAGAGAAGACAAGAAAATATTTTACCAAAAAGGACAATTTTTCTCTCTTCTTTCGAGACAATTCGTTTGCCAAAGACAACCTTCAATAAATTAAGAAAAATATATATATATATTTTCTTCACATGATTATAAATAAAAAGAAACAACGATTATGATAAGAAAGTAATGTATCGCAATAATATCTCTTGTTTTCTTAATTATTAAAATTTCAGAAGTGGTCACACACCACGGATTAATAAAGGCTACGCGATCACGAGTATCGGAGAGTATAATTCAAATTAATCTGCGAGGAAACTTACGGAGATGCGGCGGCTGTAAAGAGAGCACCCCTCACCAACGCCGGAAATATGTGATTTGATTAAAACCGGCGCGGAAGCAAGCGGCGATGATGAACCGCTCTTCGAATCGGGCCGAGACGCGCGCGTTGCGTGCAGCAGGATGCCACCGCCGCGACTGAGACCGAAGAGGGACCAGAACCGGCAGCCGGACGACGGAGCGAGCGCAGAGAGAGACCCTAGCCCCGGGTGGAACCGATTCGATGAGTCGAACAAGGCGGCAAAAGCCGAAGAACTTTTCGACCGATGGGACGCGACGACTCCCTTCCTTTCGACGAACCGTCTTTGTTACTTCGGCCTGATCGCGCGATGGTTCACGGTAATAATATGTGTACGCTTAAGCCAGAGTCCGACCTGACCTCGACAATCTTCGAGAGACCCGTGGAATCTCCCTCCGGCTCGCTTTCCGCTTGTGTTTGAGCATTGCCGGAATTGCGAACTGCCGGCTTTTAAGCTACGTCTTCATTGGAGCAACAACAAGCAACTCTTTGTTGATGTTCTATGTTTCTTTAGAAAGTTGCTGGTTGCTAGCAAAAGTTTCTTAAAGTTTCTTACTGTTTCTGTTCTCAGCAACAAAAGTTGCCACTAAAGAGAAATTAGCAAGTCGCGAAGAAACAAAAATGTTTCTTCAGGATAGACCTTCAATTTTCAGCGACACAGTCGCGGTTAAAACAGAAATAGGAACAAAACCCAAATGTTTCTATAATTATGGTGCTTCAGTATGGACAAAATGTTGTCAGCAACAATAAGTAACAAAAAGTTGCTCGTTATTACTCCAGTGGAGACAGCTTTATAAATACAGCAAACGTTTCGGAGCAGCCAAATGTCAGATTTGCTGACAATCAGCTGATGCTTGAATTTTGGACGTTTGCGCTAATACGATTTTTTCTAATTTTTTCACTCTAAGATTCGAATGTTTACGATAATTTCTGCGCGTATTCGGAGTTTATTTTTTTTTTTTTTAACGAAAATAGTCGGAAGGAAGATCGTCATTCGTCACTCATTTTCCAATTTCAGCATCCGGTAATTTAAGCGATTAAGTTAAAATTTTGATAAAGTCTACTTTAGATCAAACTTACACAAATTTCAAAAGTTAATACACATATCTTCTGTAACATTGCTGATGTTCTTGGACAGAATTGTTCAATTTAATTTAATTGCGTTCACATTTCACGTTTATCTGAAAAAATTGAAAAGAATTGAAAAGAATATTAACAAAAGTTTAATTAAATTTTCAATTAAATCGATTATATTTCATAAATGTAACTTGAAAGAAATGAAAACAAAACATTAAGACATCGAGATAAGTGCAGTTGACAACAGAGACATAAATCAGACTTCTGCGCTTGAATCTCCGCTTTGATTGCAGCAAACAATCGTAAGCTCGCGCTTGAAGGATTATTTGTTTGCCACTGAATTATTGTTTAAAATCCGTCCTACAGATTGTACAAGACAGAGAGTGTAAGTGCGACACAATAGCGATCAAAAATTACACATAATGACAGTATGCAAAACGCCCAGCAGTCATCGACCACCATCATCCGTATACGGGGATGATGATGAGTCATTTTCACTAATCGTAAGTACACGAAGCGCATTCCGCTCTTCAAATGACACAGCACGTTTACAAGTTGATTGGATCATTAGAGCGATTCATTAATCCCATCCCGCACGGAAGTGAACGCACGACAACACATGAAATATTTAAATAAATATTCAATCATTCAATCCTCTTTCTCTCTCGTTCTCTCCCTGCTTCGTCTATGCTCATCGTGCAATCTTCTATCGACGTTGGTCTATCGATTCATCTTGTGTCGATCGCATCTGAATCTTTAATGAACCGGAAAATGGCGAATTGAAAGATTGGCTAAACGCGTTTAAATAGCTTCAGCATCTGATATCGTAACAACACGATAACGGCGTTTCTCGACACCCTACAATTCTCTCTGGTGCGATTGATTATAACAATGAGATTCGATGATTCGATTCTTAATTGATTAAGTAATTTCGGTCGCGCGTGTTACCGATTTATCAATTCTTTTTCAATACACTACATCTCTTCGAAATTATTAATTATGTGTACACGGAGAGAATTTTCTCTTAGAATTTACTCTATGAAAATCATAGTAATTGTGAGACATTGGAAGAATTTTATAAGAGTTTCTCTGTGATTAATATTTACCACAATAAAAATAATATATACATAATAAATTATATACATATAATAAAATTAATCGAACATATTTTATATCTTATTGTGATAGATTTATTAATATTTTTATTGTAGTAAATATTAATCAGAGAAACTCTTATCAAATTTTTCCAATATCATATTGATTATCATAATTTTCAGAGAGAGAGAGAGAGAGAAAAAGAGAGTAAATTCTAAGCAAAAATTCTCTCTGTGTATGGTGACTATATCTTCTGAGAGGAAATAAAGGACAAACTAAAGGACCCCTAAAAAATTTAGGATTTTATTTCAACATGTTTCCAAATCAGTTTGCCATCAAAGTGATTCGACTATGTTAAAACAAAAATCCTTTGGTTTCGTAAACATGTTCTATAGTTTTGTACAAATTCTAATTTTAATATTACAACATTAAACATTAAAACTCTAAAAAATAAAGGACAAAATTGAGTTTTGAAAAATAAATAAATATAAAGGACAACTGAAAATAAAGAATTATCCCTTAAAATAAAGGACGAATGGGCACCGTAATTATACGCGAATTAATGAAATTAATTAGAAAATCGCTAGATTAGTCGCAAAGCGACAAACACTACAAGAAGCTTAATTTTATCAAATGAGAAATTTAATTGCGGCGCAGCTTCTCTATATTTACTTAACATAGAGAAATGCAATATGTGCATAGCAATTGTGAAATCTTTTCGCAGAGCTCTCAAATGTCACTTGAAAGCGCGTATAATAATCGCAAGCGACGAACTCTCTACATCTCTATATATATACGACGATAATGAAGCTCAACTTTGTATCGGACGCACATGTGCGTGACATCACATTGCGAGTGCTCGCATCGTTAAACGCTCCCACCCGGTATATATAAGAACGCACTTCTAGAGAAGCCGCCGTTATATGCGGGTCCGCTATAGCTGCGTGTCTGCAAAGCAGGAAGTTCCGTCGAAATAGAATAGAGGCGAATTGAACTATATACCTTTATGCTTCGTGAATTTCGCATTATCTCTCATTCGTCGCGCTCGATTCTTGATAGACTGTAACGATCGGATTAAGACACGAAGGAACTGCTATGCGTAGGAGCCGCTCGCGTGTCCATGTGAGAAACGCGAAATGTCATTTATTAAATTTATTACCCGGATCTCGACGTGGTCATAGAACCATGTTAGAGGCGAAACGGACGATAAATCCGAATAAATTCGACGAGCGAATGTTTATTTTATATAGGAAGCACGAATGTGTGAAAAATGTAATAAAAAAAGAAATAGCTTTTTGTGTCGAACTCAGCTATAAACATCAAATTTCATAAAATATTATATAAACGTATATTTATATATAAAAAAAAATAGTGTAGAAACGCAGTGAGCTTTTTAAAGCTCTTTATTTCTTTTTTGCACCGCTACTTATAATTATATATTAAGTATGAATACACTGATAAAAATTATTAAATTAATAAATATTTTTATTTCAATGCTGCCTAATAAATTATTTATTTGAAACAAATAAATATTTATTTGTTTTGAAAAAGATTTTCTTATATCAAATACATATTTTTCACATCAAATTAATAAATTATTAGTTTCAGATAAATAATTTATTTAGCACTATTGAAATAAACATATTTATTTGAATTCAATAAATTTTTTTTAATGTACAGTTATAAAAAGTATTTCCGGCAAAAAGACGATCAACTTATTACATCATGCAACGCTAACTGTGTTTATCGTGTTTGCAGATCGATAAATGAAATTCAATGAATAACAGAGAATTGTGTTTAATAATATAATTGTATTAATTAATTTGTAAATTAATAAGTGTAATTTTTTATAAATTGTAGAATTAAAAATTTAGTGAGAAATTTTCACCTATTAGTTGCATGTTTAAAAACAAAAACTACATATTACAATATAAACAAAAACTACATTTTACAATATAATTGTATATATTAACAAAAACTATAGGCTTTTTTTATTTTTTATGATATATGCACTGATAAAAAATGTATGTGCGTGGAAAGAAAAATATTTAATTTTAATTAATTATTGAAAATTTAAATCTAAAAATGACGCAGCAAGCTCACATAAAATTTGCATATTATATATATATATATATATATATATATATATATATATATTTGCAACGATTTAATTTTATGCAAAAAACTCGTTTATATATATATATATATATATCAAATCTAATTATATTATCTCATTATATTATCAATTATATCACCTAATTATATTATCTCAGAATAAGGTAGTAAAAGCAAGGATGTTTACGCTTCGAAAAGAAAATAAAAAAACATACACACAACACAAGATTTTCGCGCGCATAATACATTCTATATACATATATGTATATATTACGTTCATATATATCTATTATATAAACATATATTTCAAAAATAACAAACACGAACATTTTATCTTCTTAATAAATTACTATTTTATATTATTAACAATAGAAAAATTGATTGTTACTTACAAAATAGCGCGCAGCAAGATCTTCTAGCACCTCATCGATGAAGGAGCCGGATGAAAAGAAGTTCAACATGACGTTATCGACGCAGACTGGCAACTTCTAAATTTTAAATTGGCACGACTGAAGATGCGTTCAGAAATCCTACTCTTGGAGCAAAGGAATTTAATTGACCAATCAGGAGGCAAGACTTCTTCGTCCTAATTGGTCAAATAAATGATACTCTATAGGAGTAGAATTTTTGATCAAATCCTAACGCGCGACCGTTTTTAGACGAACCGTTTCCAACCGCTTTCGTTGAGCGTTTTAATTAATTAACCTTGGAGAAATTTGTGTTTTGCGGTGCTTTTATTATTTTAGCCAACGATAAACGACGCGATCGCGAATGACAGCTAGCTAAGCCGCGTCAGCTGACGTCGAAGTGGAAAATTTGAAATGTAGCGTGACAGAGTGAACGGGCAGGTTCACGAAAATATTCTTTGTGTTCAAACGTCCTTTATGCAGATCGTCCTTCGAAATTCGTCGGGATGAGCACGACCCAGGATAAGGACGAGCATCGAAGACGCTCGTTGGAATCCGGCAGAACAATGGCAAGTTTCCTCTCCTTCTATCCTTTCCATATATTATTGATATTTATCATCATATTTACTGTGTATCTTTCCTGTTTACTCCAATTTCATCAGTTTTTCTATTTATTAATATTATTAATTTTTTATAATGTTTGTATTAATATGTGCTGTTGTTAATCTGCTATCTGGGTTGTCAGCACTATTTTGTAAAAATAGCACTAGTCTTTATTTAGAAAAATGTATTCTTAATATCTAACATATTTAATAATAATGTCAATTGTTATAGTTGGAAAAATACAAGGCAAAACGATCTAGCAAGGACACAAGTACAAACATGCAGAGTGCAGAACAATCTGATGATGAATCGTTACACAATGAAAAATCCTCGTTGCTCAGAGAACCTGGTGTAAGAATAAGAAATAATAGTTTTACTTAAATGTATATTTAATATGCAAGATTTTTGTATAATTAGCATAGATGGCTCATGTTATGTTTTTCTTATGTAAAGGTAACCGAAGATATATTCTCCAGAGATGTAACATATAGCAGTGTTAGTATAAGCGAAGGAGAGCCAGATGCTGATTTGGAAGGACTAGCAGGACGTGTTGCAGAATTGGAAGAGTTATTACAAGGGAAAGAAGCTGTAGTTGGAGCTCTTCACGCAGAAATTGATCATTTGCGAGCTGAGGCATCTTCCCCAAATTCATCACAAAGTCGGAGCAGCAGTATACATGGAAAGGATATTATATCTTTGTATCATATAAAAGTGAGTCATGTACTTAAACAAAATTCTCAATATAAAGTTAGAGCAGAAAAATCAAAGCAACAGTAACTATTTTTTTCTTCTAATATATTTAATAAACTTTCTTTTCTCTATTCTATTCTGGGAAAAGCTTTGCTGTGATTTTACATCTAAATAATAATAGCTGGAGAATAGCTTGTAATTTTATTTTTACTGCTGCGAACTAATCATTATTGCATAATATTTTTCTTACCAAACAGTTGCAAGAGTTTGAAAAAGCAGTAAATCAACGTGATAATTTAATAGAACACTTGACATCATCTTTAGAGCAAGCATTATCTGCTAGAGATGCTGTCACAGGACAACTTAATGCCTTGAATGCCATACAGTTAGACAGTTCTGTGATAAATAACATGAACTTGCAGCAAAAGGTAAATATTACACACTTCATGTTTCTGTACTTTGTAATTAATGTTGATAATCTTATTAAGTGAACAATCATAAATGTTTTAGATTGAGGGGCTAGAAACTGAAATGAATGATAAAGAAGCATTAATTCGTCGATTGAACGCGCATTTGACAGATATTCGTAAACATGTACAAACATTGGAAATGGAAAGGGAAACGCGAAACGCAGAAATCAATGACTTCAAAATTCAGATAAATAATCTGAACGAGAAAATTCGTCTCGGTGCCACAGAGAAGAACTTAAACATTGATGAAACCTTGGAACAACAGAAGCAATATGAAGCACGTGTTGACAAAATCAAGCAGGATATGCAGCATATTTTGAACAAATTTACCACTGTTACAAATGCCAATGCAACGCGTTACCAGCAAGAATTAAAAGTAAATGGTTTATAATTTTATAATAATATTTGATATAACTTTTTAAATATCTCTATTGTATGTATATAAGTATGTACAATTAAAATATTTAAAGGAAAAGTTATATCAGCGAATACTTATTTGTGTAACTTGTTCTTTTAAATAATAACTTGTTCTTTTAATTCGTAATTTCTAGGAATTAACTATAAAAAACGAAGCTGAAATTGCCAATATAAAAGTCAAGCATGAAGAACACATCAAAGCATTGAAGGAAGAAAACAAAACGTTAGCTGATCGTTTAAACAAAGAATTGCCAGACTTGGAAAGTAGGCATGCCAAAGAATTGTCCGTCTTTCAAACGCAGTTGGCCTATTATAAGAAAACTGTGGAGGCATTAAAGCTCGAGTTGATAAATCATACCGAATCGCAAAAAGTCGCGCAATCAGAAGCCCATTTGTACAAGTCAAAACTCGACGAATTGAGATTCGAGGCAGAGAACGAACGACGCATACAAAATCTACACTTTCAAAATGACAAGGAACTGTTAAACGAGCAGATCAAGTTGCACAAAATTCAACTGGAGGAACTCACGTCGAAGCACATTGCAACGATGAGCATTCTGGAATCTAAGGAGAGTATCGAGAGATCTCTGGAACAGGCTCTATCAAACGCCGCTACACTGAAGCAGGAGAACGAAACACTGAAATACAAGCTGGACGATTTGTCGTGCAGATATTCCGCGGCACAGTCGTTGATCGAAAACAGTCAGGTGCACGAGAGAACTTTAAATGGTAAGATATCTGAATTGGAAAGGTCTTTGTCGCGATTCGACGCTACGAGCGTCAGTACAGTTAGCGAGCTAGGTGAAACCATGTATAAGACTTTCGATGATGAACTTCTTCAACATCAAATGATTAAACAAAAGTTCGAAGATAGAGTGGAGATGGAAAAATTGTTGCTCGAAAAAGTTCACATCCTCGAAGAGGATTTGAGCAAAGCAAATGACAAGCTGGAACAGACTGATCTCGCAAAGAAAACTTATGAAAAACAGTTGAAAGATATGAAAAATACATGCGACAAATTGCAACAGGAAGTCAATTCGTTGAAGGAAATCAATCGTACGACATCTTACGTTGATTCCAGTCAGGAATATTTCGAGAGCAATATTTCGATGAATGTCGATTCGGTGCGACGTATAGAAAGTCAGCAGAAGGAGATCGAGAGCTTGAAGTTACTCATGGAGCAGAAAGAAACGGATAATGTAAAGTGTAAAAAAGATTTAACTGAAGTAACAGAGAAGATGAAAAAGTTAGAAGCACAATGCGAACAATTAACAAATGGTTTGGTTCATGCGTGGACTGAATGTGCTGAGTATAAAGAAAAATTGAATCAGACGTTGAATGACAGTAGTAAAATCAATACTTCCTTTAATAGTACGACCTCGTCCAAGCATCTTAAGACAAACCAAAGTTTAGACAACAGTACATCAAATCAAAATATAATAGAGCAAACTAAAGAGTCAGACATTGCTGATGTTAGCACATTAGCAGACAAGAGTAACGTGAAAAACAGCGAGAATTTGCATAAGCAAATGCAACAAATGCTGGAGGGCGAGATGATCGTAGAAGAAATTAAGTTAAAGTTAAGTCATTATTATACGTTATGCGAAAAAATAGCAGGAGAACTGTCGACAGAAAACGCCGCTTCCAAATTGGAAAAGGAATTACTAAGTCAGGAAATCCAGGACATGATGAATCGATATAAGGAAGAACTAGAATCTGTTAAAGCAGATTCGACCAAAGAGATCAATCGATTGCGTTTGTTGGTGCAGAATTTCAAATCATTTCAGGCAAGTCTTTATCTTTATTCGGTATTTTTCCTGTTTCCATTTTGTTTATACTCTTGTTTTTAAATTATATTTCTCTTTTTAATTGTATTTTTTTGTCTCTTAAGGATGGGAATGACATCAGTGAAATTAAAGCTGAACTTAATGCACGCCATACTAAGGAGATGGAAGAACTTCGGACATACTTCGAGCAGAAGTGCTTGCAGATGGAAAAACAATATTCCGAAGAGATCTTCAGCCAGCAGTCGAAACGAATTTCCGACAATGATAGTGAAACCGAAGAGCTAACGGATGATTTATATTTTGGTGGTGCGGGCGATTGCTTGAACACGTCCAATTCCCGAACAGCAACATCTGGTGTCAACGAGGAGTCTCTAAAAGACACAACCTTGGATGTTGAAAACCAAACGCGTATCGAGACAGAGTACGAAAATAGCATCCAAACATTGCGACAAGAATTGGAAATTAAAATGAAGACAATTCAAATTATGAAGACTGATTATAAGAAAGCAATTGAAGAACAGAAAGAGTTGTATGAATGCCAAATTCGCGATATTGAAGCAAAATTGGAACGTTCGTTGGCTACATCTGTGAACCAGGTAAGGAAAAATTTTTGAAAAATTTATTATGAGACTTTGCTTGATTAATAATACATTTGTTGATAATGAAAGCAATTTTTGTGCCATATTTAATGTGTGTCATATATAAAGATCGTTTGCTTGTAATAGTAAGTCCTATTATGAAATAGCTCAAACTTTGAAAATATTGACATATACATGTTATAAAATTCTTCATATTTTAGATAAAAAATATTTAAATTATTTTAAATAAACTTTAATTATATAACAATATAAAAATCATCGCATTGCTTTTTTTGTGTTCTGCAAACAATTCTTCATAAAAACTCTATTCACGAGACAGAATTTTAATAGCTTATCTTGTTGTAAATATATATGTTATAGGTCTTATTTCTTCATAGAATAAATATCAATAATTTCTTAAGAGAAATTCGAATTAAAGTTTATTATATTATTTTAAAAATAAAATAAAGTCTTTTATATATATAAGAAGAAAGAAAAAACTTTATATAAAAATTGATTAGGTACTCGTTTGGATTCATTAATTTATTGTGAAAAGTTATGACAAAATTCTTATTCCAAAATCATGAAGCCTGTTAAGATATAAATGCATGGCGTGATCAGCGTGCACTAATTATTTTTTCACTTACTTGAGATCTACAATTTTTTCTTCTACAATCTCTTTAATCTTTTTTATTTATTATAATTAATGTATTTCCTCATTTTTATACGATACTAATGAAAAAAGAAATAAATTATTAGTCCCATTGTTATAATTTATATCAAAACTGGTGACTAACACCGCTGTGCGACTTCATGTTTGCATGCAGTATTGTCAAACAGAATGGGAGGCATTGGAAAATGGTGAATTGTCGAGTCTGCGTGACGCGTATAATCATCAATTGGAAGAGCAGATCGCGCTAGCTAGACAGGACATTGTCAACGCTCTTCAAGAACAATTTCAGGTAGATTTCAGGATCTTCTGAAACTGGGCTGATTGAGAATGAAATATAAGCGGAATAAAGATTAACTGCAAATTTTGTAAATTAAAAATTATATAATTTCTGTATTTCTGTGTTACTTTGTATGTGTGTTGCCATAAAAGCTTTCGCTAATAGAATTTGTCTACCTGTATTTGTGATTCATTGATTAATGGAAAGTTATTAGATGATGTTTATTGAAAATCTGTGTTGTGATTGTACAGGCACTATTATCAGTGGAAGCAGATAAAGAAGATAATTGGCCAATTGAATTATTAGAACTACGAGATAAATTCACATCCAACGCTAAGCAAGAAATTCAAGAAATCAAAGAGATGCATAGTACTGAATTAACTCGCCTAAGAGATGAACACGATTGCATGTTAGCACGAATGCTTGAGCAACACCGAAAGGAAATTGCTATTCTTAAAACTCAGAATCCAGATAATAATCAAGAAGTTGGCTGTGTTGGATCTTTAGAAAATAATATTATGGAAGAAAGGTAATTGATGAAATATTATAATTTTATCTCAGTCATAGAAAACTCAGTCATTAAAAGTATTTAATATATATTTTTTGAATTATTGAAATATTTTATATTTTATATTATTAAAAGATTTAATATGTTTGCATTAATTTGTGACATTGAGAATTAAATAATAATTAGATTCTTATTATTAGATTTCTTAGATACCACAATATAAAAAATATTTAACTTTATAAATATTTTTTATCATATTTAAATATGCAATGTTCAATTTTTATTAGGGATAACTTAAGGAAGACATGTGTAACTCTCAGAAACTTGATTGGAGAATTGATTAATTACTTTGCCGTTTGTGAAGAAGAAGTTAATAACACTTTAATCAACGAGGTTTTAAGAAGACAATTGACAGAGTCCGTTCATGAGTCAGTCTTTACTCATGAAGGAAATTTAAACGACAATAATTTATCCGAAACACAATGCAAAGACCAAAGATCCAACCAATCCATTAAAAGAGTTCATTTTGCTCCACAATCCAGCAAAATAAATTCCATTGTTAACAGCGATAATAAGACGTTAATCGAGGAAGACATAGATGAAATATTAAGGAAAGAACTAAAGGCTTGTTTAAGACGCCTGAAGTCAGATAGTACACAAATACTTAATTTATCCCTACCAAGCGAAGACAATATTGCGTTGTCGTCAAAGGAGACTCTCTTAGCAAGCAAAATTAATGAAGAACTTTCCTTGAAACTGAATCATGCTGAAGCTTTGATAATAGGCTATCAAGAAGAAGCGGAACAATTAAAATTGCATATTTTAGAACTACAACGAAAATTGATTAGCGCAGAGAGTAAAAAGGAAGTCATCACTGAGGGATATGGTGAAAGCGATCTTTCTAGAGTTGATATTGCGTTGCAAGATTTCTCACAGGTGCAAGAAAAAGGTAAATTTTTATCTTTTAACTTTTGTATCAATTAATAGATTATTTATTGAACATATGAGATCAATTATAATCGCAATAAGAAGAAACGATATTTAATGCTATTTCAAACTTATATATTTACATTAATCTATCTCTATATATTATTTTAGTAATAATATATATATGTTTTATATTTCTTATATTTTTCTATGTAATTTTTTTATGTACAATTTGCAGCTAGACATGTATTATCGAATGGCGGCGGCGATGCATCTTATTTACTGCAATTAATAGAGGAATTATGCAGACAAAACGATAAATTAATAGATGATGCTAGAAAGGAAAGGGAAGATTTGCAACAACAGGTAAAAATTATTTATATTTATTATTTATCGAAATGCATCGTTGCATGATTATCCGATATTGGTATGTCGATATAGTGATATTGTGGTGTACTGTTCATTGAAAAACAACTTGTCTTTGCAATTCATCACAATTCTAAACACTTCTATATATCCACAAGCTTTACATTTATATTTATATTGTATTTGTTTTATCATATAGCAACACACACATAATTAACACAAATATTTTTTGTTTTTACATGGCACGTTTTCTACACGAAATGCGAATGTGAAAAAATTTATTAATACATATATAAAATTATATAAAACTATATGTATATTATATAATTTCATATAATTTTAGATTTATATTTTATATAGTTTCATATAATTTTTTAATGCTAAAATATATACTTATTATATTTAAGTCAGCATTATGAAACGATTTATAAGGAATCTTTAAAAATTGAATATTTAAATGCTTCCTTTGACTTTTGAATATTATTGGTTATTCATAAATCTTTGAATCTCTTATTTCAGATATATATTTTCTCCTTAGACTATGATTTCTGGACTAAAGTTCTTAATTATCTTTTCATTAATAGTTAGATTTTTAACAATTTATATTTTAAAACTAAATAAATTTACATTTTCTACATCCTACATATAAAATAATATACAGTATTCTTCAGTAATTTGTAAAACAGCCAGAATTTAGAACATTGTGCGTGTACCACAATCACATATTATTCTTCCATAAATAAATATTTGATTAAGTAAATAAAAGAGAATTTCCCAAAATCAAAAGTGTAGAGTTCTGCGATGCAGGTTTTAAGGGATTGATTGGCGTTCTTGTCTTGCCAGCAGGTACCTTTAGAACCCACTCCTACCCCATACATTCACAGGGTTTGCTGCGAAAAGGTAAATTATAGAATTACTAATATTATTGTAAACGCTCTTCGCGTAAGTTATTCTTCCAAATCGACTATAATAAACTAACATGTAACGTTCCATTACAATCAAAAAGTATAAATAAATTTTCATTGATATCATTTTTAATACTTGCTTATATAATATTAATTTTTACGTATATTATTGTAGTGCTACTAAAATGTATTGTTGCTTGTTAATATTTATTACATGATGTTGCATTATATAATAATTGCTTTGCATGCTATATTGAGGACATATTTTATTGTAGTACATTGAATGACTCCTTTATTCTTCTCTCTCTCTCTCTCTCTATTATAATATTTTGCTATTAATCATTTTATTATTTGCGAATGAAACATATTGTAACTAATATAATAACTAAAAGTATTGTCAAGTAATTATAATCCAATTAACATTTCTAAGAATTGTAGATTTATAGAAAAAATTTTACTTTATTTCTTCCAAAATGTTTAATACCCATTTTTCTGACTTTTTAACTTTATTAACATAACTTTTTCATTTAATAAGGATTTGTTCCGAAAAACTCTTGATATTTGAAATTTATATAGATTTTATTATTGTTAAAGAGAATTAAATAAAATTCCGTGAATTTGTCAAGTTGTCTATTAATCTGAAAAAAAAGAGTGAAAATATAAATTATATATTTCTCTGACAATCATTTATTACTTCTAATTATAATTACTTTTACCCAGATTGAGGCAGCAGACAAGCAATTGCGAGCGACGCGTCGATTTTTGGATGAGCAAGCAAGCGAGCGCGAGATGGAGCGAGATGAAGCTGCGAAGCAAATTCAGCTCTTGCAGGAACAGCTCAAGGAAGGCGAACGTAAGAAGGAAAGAGATATGCGAATTAGTTCTGAGGTAAAAACAATTTCCTTGGAAAATTTAATTATTCTTTTAAATGTGACGATATTTTTGTTAAATATGAACACAGAACATACGCTTTTTGTAATCACCTGCTAACTAGAGTTTACTCTCTTTTTAATTAATCCTTAATTAGTTGATATACTATCAAAATTGCCACATATATGTACAAATTATTTTTGAAAAATTTGTAAAGAGTCAGACATTGTTCTAGATCTTCGAATTTGAGACTTAGACATCAGAATTCAAAAGTTTAGAAATCTGAACAAAAGATTTTAATAAATATAAATCATAATAATTATCACTATCTTAAGGATTAATTAAGACATTTGTAAATTCACTCTAGCATATTGCACTAACCGGAAACTTCAACTGGCATATAACGACTGCCATTTCTAAAACTTAACTACAGGGTTCTGTGGTTTATTTTAATGTAAAATTTAACTTAGACTTAAGGTTGCTGAAAAAGAATATATCCATGAAAAATAAGATTAAATTTAAATTGCAGAAGATTTATTTATTTAAATTATTTATTTAACTTATAACAATTATAACAACATTGAGAAATATGTTAGATTAATTTAAAATATATATATATATATATATATATATACATAAATAGAAAACAAATATACGTCTAGCAATCAAATTTATTAATATTTTTATACAATTTTAATATTAAATACATCTATTGTGTTTTTATAAATTTTGAATATAATCATAATTTTTTGTATTAAAGATATTAGAGCTAAAATTTACATTTTATGGAATATGTTCTTCAATCAGCAGTTCCCTTTTTTTAGACATTTCTATTGAAAATACAATATAATATAGAATTTAAAAACTAAAATTGGATTAAAAGAATTATTATTATGGAAATTAATTGTATCACCGGCAATTAATGACACGCATCACTACTAATTATATTAACACGAATTTTTATGCACTCTGGTTTGGGTTTTCTATTTGTCGCACAAAGCAGTCTGAGCTATCATCTGAAACAACTTCAGACATCCCTGAGCTTCAAACCACGACCAATGCAGCTGTGAGTGATATTGTATTTAATTTGATTTTTCACTTTCTACAGTCCTTTTTTCCCTATTAACATACAGTGGCTGAGATAAATATGTTTATCAAAAGATTATTTTACAAATTGTATAATTGTACAATTTACTTATTAGCTATCAAATAATATCGGGAAAAATTAAACTAAATGAAAAAATTGTTGAATAATAAAGTAAAAAAAGATTTAAAAATTTGCATAATAAAAAAAGTTCAGACTACTTGACAGAAATACATTTTGCTTATTTTATTTATTATGTACTATTTTTGTATAATTTTTATTTAGTTAATAATTGTACAATTTTTTCTCTTTTATTAATTATATATATTTAATTTATATAATATATTTAAATTGTTATATATATATATATATATATATATATATATTTATTTATTTATTTATTTATTTATTTAATAATTTTCTTTTTTTTTATCCACTGTATGTTAGCGTAAAATTATTATAAAACTAAATATGATATATGATTATCAACTCTACTAGCTTTACATGTTGGGTCATGCTTAACTGGAATTATAGGTGACATCCTGAAAAAAGCGATTTATTGACAACTCGCACATATGTATGCTATACAGGTGATTTATAATTTATAGGTGGAGGCTCTCGAATCTCAGATGAGAGAAATGTCGTCGTTAATGTCCGACACGGAAGCGAAGAAATCAGAGAAGGAGAGTGAATTGAAGGCCGCGGTAGATAAAATATGGGTTTTACGAGAGATCATTGCTGACTTGGAGCAACAATTACAAACTAAGAGTGAGAGGGAAGAATCCTTACAATTACAAATCAGTCAATTGGAAGCCGTGATAACCGCGCAAACAAAAAATCAACAGGATTTAGTTCAAGAGCTGGATGCTATCAAATCTGGCACTGAAAGCAGGCATTTAAACGAACAAATTAATCATTTACAGGTAAATCAGATGGATAATTACATAAATTACACACATATAAAAGGAAAAAAGGAGAAAAAATAATTATTACACAAGAGACACTATATTTTTTTATGTTTCAGGAGGAATTGAGTAAGCACAAATTAAGCTCGGAGCATTTTAATGTCAATTCGTCTGTCTTAAAGCAGATGAAAGCAGAACTTCACGAGATGCAAAATCAATTGGACAAAAGAATCCGAGAATTGGAATCCGCGCACATGTGCGGTTCAAACTTGAGTTTAAGTCAGCCGAGTGAAGACGTTTCGATCAGAGAACAAATCGACGCAACGAGATGTTTGACACCGGATGATCCGTCCTCTCCACCAATGTTACCGTTGGACCAAGTGCTCAAGTTAAAAGATAAAATGCTGAAACACGCACGTGCGGAAGAAGTGGCCTTCAAGAGAATCAAAGATCTGGAGATGCAGTTGACAGCAATAAAGAATCAGAATGAGGAATTACTAGCGGAGCAGGAGATCTTACAGCAGACAGCATCCGAGCAATTATTCCAGATTGAAGCGATGCGCGGTCGCTTAGAACAACATAAACAAAGTGCTCCGTTCGCTCAAAAACAAGCAACGTCTCGTTTAGAATTACAGTTGCACGAAGCTACTACGAAGTATCACTCTTTGGAGCAAATTATTACTAACAAAGAGATAGAATTGAAAGAATTAAAAGCCCAACTCGAAAGAGTTAATCAAATGCTGACAGAGAAGGAGGTGGAAATGGAAAACTTTTTACAATCGGAAAATGGCGCGCTACGAAAGATCGATGAACTGAAAGATCAATTAAAGCTTGTTCAAGAGGAAAAGAAAATGTTGCAAGTCAAGCTTGGAACACAAGAGCACGTTCAATCGGAATTGCCACAACTGATTGATACTATGTTGGCAGACAAGAACGAGGAGATCGATCATCTGAAAGAGCAATTATTCAAAAAGGAGAAACAATTGAATACCTACACATCCCTCGCTTTGGACGACACACAACTGAAGGATTTGACGAAACAAGCAGAGGCCAAGAACAGCGCGCGAACATTGAGCGATATTCTTTCTATACATTCGGAATGCGAAGAACTTCCTGAAGCTATTCGAGCTATTAACGGAACGCACTTGATAGCATCGCAAAATATCTCCAGTATCAGAATTCCTGCGTCTGTATCGAAGAACACATTAACTGCAAATAGTTTCGATATTGCGGAAATACCTTTACTCAATATAGACAAAATAGAAGTGCAAGTTCCACCGTTGGATTTAGATTCTCACACACATAGTTTCAGTAATGACATCCGTCACTCGGATATAGAGCTACATCATATCGAAGGTGAATCAAAGTTGTCCTCTCCAAAGAACAATGTCAGCGAAGATTCTCGACAAGCCGAAGAATTACTTAATGAAAAGATGAAAGAAATTGAAAACTTGTCAAATCAACTGCAAACTCTGCAACAGGAACTGGAAATAAAATCTAATTTTTTGAAAGGATATGAAATGGAGCTGGCTTCCATGCAGAAACAACATCAAGAGTTGGAGGATGAGTACAAGGAAATTGTTGAAAACTTGGTGCGAGATAAAAATTTTTATAAAAGTCAATATGAATTTACTCAAGCATCGGAGAGCAAAATAAAGAAAGATTTGGAAGAAGTCGAGAACATTTTAAAATTGAAGACGGAGGAGCTCGAAGACCACAAGAGCAAAATGCAAGCAAATGAAAGGATCATCACAGAATTGAATATGGATAACACAAAACTGAAGAGAGAAATAAAAATTAAAGAGAAGGATCAGATGCAAAAGAACAGTTCCTTACTGCAGGAGAAGATACAGGAATTACAAAGATTCAAGGAACTCATTTTGGAGAAGGATATCGCACTGGAGACTTTCCAAACGCGTAATATCGAAATCGAAAACGAAAATAAGCAGTTGTACGAGTTTAAGACGAAACTTCACACGCGTGAACAGGAGATCGCCGAGTTGCAAGACGAGATCTTGCGGTTGACTGACGGTCTAAATAATCGAGATCAGGTAATCCGTAAGTTGGAGGAGATAGCAAAACGGACAAACGACGTTCATTCGGGTACATCGTCGCCGTCATCTTCTGTCAGTAATAAGGACCAAGAGATTCATCATCTGCAGGAGTTTCTGAAAGAAAAGGACAAAGTAATCAGGCAGATGAGCGACGATAGTAAGAGCTTACAACAAGCTCTGGAAACTATTCAGAACAAGATGAAAGAATCTGGTAATATTGTGGAGCTGAGAAAAAAATTAAAGGATGAGCGCAGGCTGAACGAGGAGTTGAAGACTATCGTGCACAAGCTGCAAAAGGAATTAGAATTAAAAGATGCATCCGCGCAATGCTCGCAGGACGACAGCGATATCGAAGATATGGTCCAACGAGAATTGAATCTCTCCGCGCGATTGGATAAGCAAATTATGCAGGTCATTAAAGACGACGATGACGAAGAGATTGTGGATGGGGCGACGAAAGAGCCTCAGCAAAATTTGAGTGAGATCCATCAAGACAATAAGATGCTGAAGAAACTAAAAGAGGATCTAGAAATCGAACGTGATATGATGAAACATCAGATCGCCGAATATGAGGATCGTATTCTGCAATTGAAGGCCGATTTGGCAGAAGAGACGAAGAAAGTAGTCAAGTTGGACAAAGAACTTGTGTCAGAGAGAAACACAATAAAGTTCTTAAGGGTGCAAATAGAAGAATATCGTCGAAAGACAGAAGCGGGACGAGCTCAAGACACTGAGTTGATCGATTTCTTGCAGAAAAAACTGAAAGCCTCTTTGGAGAATGAAAAAAGGCTTTGTAATGATCTAGCAGCGATGAAGCAACAGCAGATTAATCTGAAATCGCAATTGATGTCCATGAAAAAATCGATAGAAGCCGAAAACATTAACTCGCCAAAGTTTGCTGAAACTACGCAGGATGAATTAGAGAGGTATATGTGCTAATTTTTCATTTATTTAATTGTTTTATTACTTTTTTATATATTATGTAGTTCTGTCTGTAATCTTTTGTTCATGTTATTTCTTTGTTTTCATGTTATTCGAAAATTATAGATTAAAATCAAAGATATATCGAAAACATTAAAATAGAGACATAATGTTGATACATTCGGCAAACAAATAATTTTATTTTTTCTATTTAAGGGCAAGCGAAGATCCCAAGGAAAATCACGTAAACATTACGGAGCTACAAGAAAAGATAAAGAGATTAAAAACTGAGATGTATACATACGAAAAGCAACTGGAAATCGCGACAGAAGAACGGGAAAAACTGATCAGCAGCCTAGCGTTAGCCAATGGAGTGAAGGAAATCATGGAAACGCAACTGCAAAGAACCATTGAAGAATTGAAAGCACGAGAAGAGGAATCTGATTATCTACAGAAACAGCTGAAAATAATGACGGAAGCTGAAAATAGGAAGCAAGAGCAACGAAACGCTGAACTGGAAGAAATCAGAGTATTGCGCAAGGATATTGGCATTGCTCGAGAAACTAGGATAAAGCTGGAAGCTGACATAAATCTTGCAAGGCAGAGACTGAAGGAAACCTCAGATCGAGAGATGAAGCTTACAGACATGGTGGAATCTCTGAAAGAGCGAGAGATAGAGCTCAGTAGAAAACTGATAGTTGAAAGACAAGAGAAGAACCTGAATAACTGGATGGATAAAATGGACTTAAAACAAGCTGCGGAAAGAGAGGAAGATCTGAATCATAAGCTAATGAATTTAAACAAGATAAAAGATATATCTGTGAGTTCTATACAAAGAATTAAAGAATTAAATGAAACAGTTGATAAATATTCTATCGAGAAGAAGAATCTTGAACAAAAACTTGACAAGTTAACGCTAGATAAGGAAATGTTGATACGTCAAGTAAAGTCACTCGAAGGACAAGTAAAGAAATTGAAAAGCTCCAACAGCAATTCAACAACAGTTCCTATTGAAAAAGTATGAAATTTTGTTTTTTAATAATTATAATATAATTATTTATTGGAATATTGTGTATGGATTAATTGTTCCAACTTGGAACATTAAAAGAGAACAATTGATTTAATGCATTGTTTGAGCTTTTACATTTTATATTTTTTAATAATTTAATTTTTATAATTATATTTATTTTATATTACATCTATATTATATTACATTTATTTTATATTTATTAAATATCTTGATTTTTAATAATTTATATACGCAAAGATTAATCAGTTTTATATATTATATATATTTTAAATAATATATATTTAATAAAACTATATTTATAAGTAATATATATTTTAAAATAAATATAGTAATGACGTATATAAATTTTACTCTTTATTGATTTCAGTTACAAAACCTTTACGGCTCATATTTACGGGTGGACAGCAGACGAAAGGCACTGGCATACCAGAAGAAATACTTGCTGTGCATTGTTGGTAGTTATCAGTTTTGCGAGGAGAATACGCTTTGCGTACTCGCGCAATTGACTCAAGAACAACGCATTTACACGCGATTAACCCGCAGCAAAAAGGTGCGCTTTCGGATTGCCGTGTTAACAATAATCAGCATTCACAGGATGAAATGGTTGACCAAACGTTGGCGAATAGGAAAGCGCGTGGGTGCTAATGTTATTATAGGTAGTATAGAGCAATTAGTAAGTGATTCGCCATCTACTATAAAAATTGCACCGAGTTATTCCCCACCAGTGAGAGAAAAGACAACAAAGTAAGTAAAAAAATGACAAAAGTATTATATATTTTTCTACGAAATTTACGGTAGAGATGATTATCGAGAATCTCTTTAATCAAAATTTGAGAAATCGAAGCATTAGCACAAAGAAACATCTCTAATTCGATAGATTAGATTAGAGTGTTGTATATTTTATGTTATTCAGTCTTCTTAAAAGAAATATTATATCAAGTTATCTCAAGTTATAGTTAACTTAATCATGAACTCGAAACCTTACTATCTTGACATGTTGTTCTATTTATCATTGTATAACAGCATTTGGCTCATTTGTGTGATTGCTTAGTGAAATTGAAAGTTTATAGTTTGCTTTTATTTTTTATTTAATTATACACGTTATATGTTATATGTATATCGAATTGTATGTTTCAGTAAAGTTGATACAAACAGATTGAATATCGTCGATCAGTATTATCAAGAAATAAAATATTTCCAAAAGACAGTTGATTCAGCTTCGACTCAGTCAGGAACTAGTCATATAATCTCAGAATAACATTATATTTTTAGAACTTGTAGGAGAGAGGAGAAATTTAGCTGTAGTGTTAGTATTAAGAATATTATAATGTAATTGTTTAAACAATGACATTATATAGGTCGTGTTTCTTAAAATGGTTTGTTCACACGACTTTTGACAATTTTTGAATTTATTTTTCTTAGATTTTTAGACACACGTAGATTTTCTTGGATTTGATGAAAATTTTGAATCCCTGGATTTAAATATACATTTGTAAATTTGTAAATTTTTGAGCTCTCGCACATTAATATTTAAATGACTGTTTCCCTATTGAATTATAGAAGTCTTGGACTTTTTTATCGGTGAGGATTTAAAATATTCCGATATCGTTTGTGTTTGATATATTCGTTTTTTTTTTTAAGTGGACTTTGCATTTTCTATCATCATTTATTACAATACTTTTTTCTCTCTTTTTTTACAAACACGTCCTGTATTTTGTACTAAATTGCAGTCGTCGATGGCCGATCTGCATGGGATTTCTATTTCCGTTCGACTGTACGATTTACATCGCGCTAATTAATCATAAACTGAATTGATGAAATAAATGTAAATTTCGTCAGCTTGACCGGAAATAATCGGAACTGGGCATTCAACACGGACTTTGTAATATAGACTGCGGCTTTATATATTTTTAACTGTATGTAAATTACTGTCTCAGTGAGAGAGATTTTTTATTTTCGTGATATCTTTCTCTTATTGATTACAGTGACGTAACTTCTAAATGTCATCTGAAGAAATTCTAAGAAATGTGAATTATGAAATATCATTAATAAAAAGGACATGTTACAGCGTAGATTTTAGCATTGTAAGACATATGAGAGGCTTTTATTGATTGTTAGCAAAATAAAAGCATGTTCTGCGAAAGTTGATGTTAAGCTGGACAGTGTGCTTGTATTTATGATATTATTATTCTATAAGTTACATAATATATATTGTAGGTAGTGCATAAGTATGTAAACCTGCGTGTGCCTTGTAAAGCGCTGTAAAGCGCGTTCATTATTTATTTATCGACAGATTGTAATAAGCCTTTTATATATCGCGAGTTGCATGTAATATGAATACCTTTCCTGAGACTTGTAATAAACGATCGATCTTTTTAATCATGTAATTGTGTTTTTTATATATTTTCTTCAAAACATAATCAATCTTGTTTATATTATCTTGATTTCGTCATAATTGTCTATTATATTATGCATATTACTGGTCGAGGAAAAAATACGACAGCGTTTTTAATATACATATATGTGTATTTTCTAGGGCACTATATATATTTATATATATATATATATTTACATATATACATTAGAGTGTATGATAAAATATATGTGATAATCGACTAATCGATTAATTAGCACTATCGCTTCTCGATTTATCTAAAGATAGTTTAATTTAAAGTTTTAGATGAGTGATCTATAAAGATAAGGCTCTTGTTCCTTGCTAAGATGACAACTTATGAACTATTTATTTCGTTCTTTTTGGTTTCTTTTTCAATTTTCTTATAATTTTTGACAATCTTAAATTTTCTCTTAAGTGCGTTGATGTATCGAGATGTAAAAAAAAATTTACTGGGTTTGTTTCGAATATTTCTATACAACTATTTGATGATAGAATCAAGATGAATTACTTTCTTGTCAAGTGGAAAGACTGCGTTCTAATTGTAAGTGTGGCTGTGTAAGCCACACCACATAAGAAAGTTTACTGGAAAAATTTAAGGATTAAGTTTTTCTCGAATATTAATATAATAATTACTTTCACGTTGGCTTATTTGCTACGACACATAGTGCAAGTCAGAAACTCATTCGATCGATAGATCTAATCGCCATGCAAAAAGTAAATGAATTAAAAAGAATTGATAAGAATTCACTTTGCAAAGTCATAAACTTCTAATCCCTATAACGAGAAACTGTTTATATATTTTGAATGCTTTTTCATATTTTTTTTTTTTATTTCTATTCATTAAATTTTATCCTCCAAGACACGGAGCTATTAGGATTACAAGAGAAGAGATAAATCTTTTATCTGAAAAATTGAGATATATATAGATATATATCAAATAGAAAAATTTGTTTATTTCTCACATGTATTTGGTACTTGTTAGTTACTAATAGAGTAACTACATAGTGCCATTATATTGGGTAAGAATAAAGAGAGATAAAAGGAAGAATCTATAAAAATGTTAAAAATCTTAGAGTACTAGAATTTTGAGGGAATAAGGTATATTATATCAAACAATTCTTTTTCAATTCCTTTTTAACTCATCTACTTTCTTATAGAGGAGACTGTTCTTTAATTTCAGCGCATCTTGTGACTCGAACAAGCGTCCTTAAAGTTCGTCGCGTTGAACGGCACGAAATAATCATCGTGCAGCTGTCGAACGATGTTCTCTATCGGGCACAACTTGACGACGCCCTTCTTGCCCGTTCCTAGTTCCCCATCATCGCTGACGTAGGTGTTTGCGTTCCTACAGAACGGGATCTTCGGCGTGAGATCCCGACCGTTGGCGACGACGCGGAAGTAGAAGTCACTGGCGAGGCGATTATCGTTCCTCGGATTGATCTTGTAGATCTCGATGATCAGTCTGGAAGCGTAATGGGTCGCCACATCCGAGACCACTCCGAGAGCCGTGGCCAGGTACTCCAAGGTCTTATCATGGCCGGAGTAGAGGACGATCTTGGGCCTGGCCTCGGAAATGATGCGTAGCATAAAGGTGACGATGCCTCGCAGCATCCCGTAAGCCTTGAGCAGCCCGTACTTGTTGCGACTGCTGCTCTTGGCGACCTGCTTGGACTCCCAGTCCGTGTAGGCGAACAACCCGGTAACGTGGTCGCTCTTCACGCACGTCCTCTGCGTGCTCGCCTTTAACGCGTCCTCCGACAGGTCGGCGCACGGCAGGGATGCTCCGTGGCACACGTACGTTAATAAAGCGTCCCTCAGGGTGTTCGGGTCGTACGTCTGCGCTTGATCGGGAAGCTCGAATACGGCGCTCGCCGCCTGCTTGATCAGCTCACCCACGGCTGGATGGGATCGTAGATGGTTGGAAGTCTCCTGGGGAAAGTAAAGGAGTAACGTGCCTCTGCGGAGAACCTCGATCTGATCGTAAACCTTCGAGGAGTCTCGGAGCTCTTTTTCCGAAATTATTTTCTTAGGAGCGCTAAGTCGTTTTTCGACATTAAAAAAAGGCAAAAGCGAAATAAGCTGTTTTTTTTTAATAAAATTAATTGAAGTCTTGAAAGGACCTTGCACCAAATATATAGTATATTTTATTATAGCTTAATGTCCTCCTGAACAAAAGATGTAGACCCAAATTAAAAAAGCTTATAAGCTGTTTTTTTAAATAGAAAATTGGAGTCTGAACGGACTCGAATCAAATATATAGAATTTTGATTTTCAGTAGAATTGGCTGTTTTTTATTGTAGCTTATCTCCTGCTGAATAACAAAAGATGTAATCGTAGAGCTCAAAGTTTTCGTATTTGACTGACTGTAAATCAGTAACTCTATTATTTATCTTTGAGCCTTTTGCATTTTTTGTTCAACAGATCATACAGCTACAACATGTGAGAAAACTATGTAGTTGATCTTACCAAGATTTAATTTTATATGATTAGTATGAGATTTTTGAACCTACATAAAATCCTAGATGAACTCGCAGTTGATTTTCTCACGTGTTGTAACTTATAACTATAATAATAGGTTCAAAGCTAAATAGATAGTTACTGATTTGCAGCCAGTCAAACACGAAAACTTGGGACTTTGAGAGTAGTTTGACTAGCTGCAACTCAGTAACTATCGAATATTTAGCTTTGGGCTATATTTTCTACATCATAAGCTACAATATATGAAAAAAACAGCCAATTCCACTGAAAGCCAAAATCCTACATATTTGGTATTCTTTGTGTGTAAAGAAAATTTTCTGGTTCTTTGTAACATTTGTTAAAATTATATTGAAGCGAGTCTCTTTTTTCCACAGCGCGGAATTTTTCAGCTCGAAACTTAACCGTAAGGTATATGTAATATCACGCGTTGGAACGATATGGTTTCTCTCGTGAAATTTTAATGTTAAAAAAAATGGACACATGCATCACGTGTGATATGTTTTCATATGTCACGCGCGCGGACAAAAAGCGAGCGCGTTAACGCAAGATTATTTCTGTAGGAAAAATTATTATCGCGTGCGAGCATTTTATTCAGATAACGTACGTTGGAAAATCAGCAATCTGGCAGTCTTGAATGACCTACATAGCTTTTATTGGATTTCCTGAAGAAGGAGAAAAAAAGAATGCGCGATTACTGCAGATTATTTAGTGTTTTCGAGAAAACAGGAAGATTTCATTTGAATGCGATACTTTAGGTCACTCAAACTTCCTTCGATAAGACAGACATAACGCAAGTGTGTCATATTTTATTGAATATCTTCTTTAAAAATAAAAGAAGAGGGGAAGAGCAGTATCAATTTTATATACATAGTTCTAAAGTAAGACGCGTTATAAGAAAGTTTCGATAATATAAATCTATAAATATTTCTTTGAATAATTATTCATATAAAATTTCCACATCAAACTCGAATCTTATAATAAAAAATAAAAGAAAATAATCGTTTCACAATTTCATTCTTGAAATATGATAAGAACATGCATTAAAAAAAGATATGTGAATTTGTAATTATTTTATTATAAAGTTATTTTCTTAATTTAATTTAATTTTAATTTAATGTTCAAAATTAGAGTAATTTCATAAATAATAAAAATAATAAATAAGGAAGTGAAGAATACTTTTCTATATAAAAAAATGAGACTCTAAATATTTAAATTACCTTCAAATTTAATTTAATTAAATTTTTAATTTTTAGAGTAATTTAATAAATATTATAAATAAAGAACCAAAATGAAGAGCACTTTTCTATATGAAAAAAGTAGACTCTAAATATAAATTTTGGTGCAAATTACCTTAATGTGCTGCTTCAGAAATTTCTCAGCGGCAGGACAGGCGCATTCGTTGTTGCAAAACGCATAGCTCTGACTCTCCTGCAGACTGATCCTCGCCAGACTCTGGAAACCGTCGTTCTCGAAGAGGGCATAGAGCAACGCGACGGCACTCTGCACGGTCCTACGATAAGAAGTGCTGTAGACGATGACGTCTCTGCCGAAGGTGGTGCCGTTGCCGAGATTGAGTCTGTGATAATAAGCGTTTCTCAACAGGATCCCGGTCTTCAGCAGCTGTAGAATTCCGAGGGTGGTCAGCTGGCCAATCTTGCAGTCGCGCGCGTTCGCCGGAAGTACGGGTAGGCCGTGAAACGGACCCAGAAACTGGGCCCAGGCCGTCTTCGAGTAGCTCGACACGTTTTGCACGAAATTGACATAATTCTCGTAGAGCGTTTCCAGCTCCGAAATGCCACCGGTTCCGGCCTCGCCGCCGCAATTTATGCTGCTTATATTCCGTATGTGATTCAAAGGACCTCTGTCACCGTGACGGATGAAAATCAGGATGCCTCCTAGTGTCACGTTGGCGTCGAGTTTTCCTATTTGAAAGTGGAAACCCCTTATGTGTATAATTAATTACGTATTGTTAGGAGACAATCATTTCTCGCGTATGAGATATGTAGCGTTTGCTCTTTTATCTAAATAAAATTATACAAATGATCATCTAGATAAAATTTTATATAGTGTCATCTTACTTTATATAGACAATAAAAATATGTATTATCTATATCTGCATCTTAGATAAAAGAAAGTGTTCTCTTTTCTAAACTATCTAGAATAATGTTTATAGATAATTTAGTTTAGAGTCATAGCACATAAAAATACTTGAGTATTTTTATTAAGTGATAAGTAATAGAACTTAAACCGTAAGCGATATTATAAAAACACAAATAAAAATATGAATACATTTTTATATCCTTTTTAATGATTTTTATATATCTTTCAATAATTTACATTTTTCTATAACTGTATTTGCATAAGCGGTCTTAAAATATTATCTGAAAATCATCTTCATCTTATCAAATTGTAAGATAAATTTGTATATTTTCATCTCATATCTCTAGCTAATTTTAAAATCTATTTAAGCACAACACCGGAGATATGATAATTAATATTGATTGTCGTTATTATTTTTATCGACAAATTTCTTTTAATATATTTATAGGCATCTTTTATGAAAATATGAAAATAATTAATGATATATTAATAATAATATAATGAATAGTTAATATAATTAATTATTAATTATTTAATAATAAATTATTGATAATAATTAATGATTTCGTATGAAAATAATATGTTTAAAACGTACCTTCAGTCTCTGCAGCTATCTCGTGCGGTAAATTACAAAAACGAAAGATCTTCTTTGTCTTCGCGTCCGATCTTAAATTTCTCGGGAATTCACGGAGCGACAGATCATTATTTAAGACTCTCGTTTGCACCGAAGTTTTCTCATCCACACCGATATATTTGTACATGCCTGCGCGATGAGAAAATATCACTTGTAATCTTAGATTTATAATTACTTTATTACACTTTCCTTATGTTTTTTATTCAATTGCATGAATACAGCAATAGGATATTTATACAATATATTTCTCAATTTGAAAAAAAATATATATCAATATATAAAAGATAAATTAATATTTAAAAGATAATAAAAAACTCCAATTTATATTAAATATAAAACTATATGTATATATAAAATATTCGAATAATATATATTGATATTAAAAAATAATTAAATTTCTAACAAATTTGTGTTAAAAAAACAATCCTCCCAATTTGCGTTTTAATGAAAAACAGTATTAAAACGAAGATCGAAATTCTTGAACTAGTTTTAATGGATTTCTTTTTTTAGTCGGGTGACACATTTGTGTCATCAATTATTTAATTAATCACTTCAGGATTGAACACTTTCTTTGATAAAAAGAAAATAGAATAGCCGCGTTGCCTTGATAACACGTGGCAATATTCCAACATAATCCGTTATTGAAAAACTAAAGTTGTTCTTGTTAGCTCTATTATTAAAACTTAAGTAATAACGAACAGTAGCGCTCAAGTGTGTATAGCTGCGACAAACATATATATCTCTTCGCTCTATAGTTAAAAATAAAAACTCGGTGAAATCGTGCCAGAGAGTAACTAAAAAATTTAAAGCATCCCTCAAAGTCCTATAAGTCAACAATAATGGAATGTGAAACTAAAAACTAACAAGTTTCATATATTCCCTTAATTCCGACGAGTTCAATTTTCCATAGGCACGAGAATAAAATCTATCTCATCGATTCGTAAACATAAAATTTGCATAATCGCAGCAATCTCGAATCCATCGAATTTTCGGTCGCGAAACGTTTAAGAGAGGGTAACCCGTTCGCCGCAATGCACATGGAAAAGACATCTGTCACGGGATTTACCAGCGACCAGAAGGAAGATCCACACGCTCAGAATCACGTAGCAGTAGAACGCCCTGTGCTGGTAGGACAGCCGGACCATCTCCGCGAGCATTCCTCGGCGTTTACGGGTCCCGTGGGACCGATTCGCGGGTCGACGACAAGCGGCGACGACGTCCCGTCACGATGACGACGACGACGCGGAGCGACGCGACGAGGACGCGACCGATGGATATTCGTTCCGCGCGTAGTGGCCGATCGAAGCTGCATCTTCAAACGGCCTTCGACCTACGCTCTTTCCGCATACTTGTACTCGACGGTCCCGAACGCGTATCCGATCGACGAGGATCGACAGGGAGAAGGAAACTCGCGCCGCTCGAGAAAAACCACCCTCCTGGATCTGTCCGTGCGAATCCTGCTTCGCGTCCGCCCGAGATGGAACTGCCGGTTCCTGACATGGCGATAACAACCGTGGGGGTGAGAAATTTTCACCGGGGGTGGTAGAGGGTGGCTTTCGGCCGCGCAAGCGCTCTGTCGCCCGCCCGATTACCTTCCACCCTGAAAAGCCGACTCTAGTTTTCCCCCACGAGATGATGGCCTGGTCGGTCTGCAGGGTGGCCCTCTCTCGTATAACGTTTATCGACCTTCCTTTATCTGGCGCGGTTATCAAACTGAGAGCCCGCGATCAGCAAAAGCCGCTCGGTTATGCACTCTCGGACGAAAACTGGATTTTCCCGCACGCCGGAAATATATATATATATATATATATATATATATGTGTGTGTGTGTGTGTGTGTGTGTGTATAATAATACGCTTTCTCTGACAATTATAGATCGATCTAAAGCGAGAAACGTCAAGAATGATTATTCAGCATCCTCTATCCTTTTATCTGGCCGACTCTCCTTTATATAGTAGATATAACTATCTCTTTTACATATATTACTCTTTTTTTATAATACGTAAAAAAATTAATGTAACGTTGATTGTTTTTCTACAAACAATTAACAAAGGGTTGATATAAAATAATACAGGAAAAACGTATTTAATTATAATAATAAAATAAAGAAGAAAGTTTTTATTTTAATTTGTAAGGTTTTCTAAAAAAAATTGTGTGTGGTTGGCAGCAGAAACTGATTAAAACTCTGAGATATATCGCAGAGAAAATGATCTCGCGCGTTATTATTTTCAACGATACAATCTTGCTTTGCATACAATAGCGGAATAGCGAGTGCGACCTGGAATTATCGCATATCAAGCGCTACCGTCAGATACAATCCGGATTAATTCTGATCGATCCAATTTTCAAAATCAATCAATTGCAATTACCATTCATTATACATAATCGAATCTCGGAATTCCATCCTATGCATATCGACAATCAAACTCGGCTCGATTCAAGCAACAATCCGCGGAAAAAGACTTAGCCACCATAGCTCAATTTTAGTTGTCCCAACTTGAGAAATTTAACAATTTTTATTAATATTTTTAATTATGGTTTGATGGAGAATTCTCTGTTCTTTAATTCTCTGTTTATTAACAAATAAATTTTTTTCTGTCAGAAATAATCTAAGAGCATGTAACCCTACTCGTATTTTTTGGCACCAAGCACAGAATCGACCGTAATAAATTATTAAACGAGTATTTAAGCTAGTATGTGCGTGTATAAGTAAATATCTACTTAAGCGTAACTCTTTCGGGCTTTGTTTATTAACAAATAAATTTTTTTCTGTCAGAAATAATCTAAGTGCAACCCTACTCGTATTTTTTGGCACCAAGCACAGAATCGACCGTAATAAATTATTAAACTAGTATTTAAGCTAGTATGTGCGCGTATAAGTAAATATCCACTCAAGCGGAACACTTCCGGGCTGAAAAATATTGGCTATTATAGCTAAGATTTAGACATAATAACCCAGTGTTTGCTGTTATCTATAAGTAAAGTTATAGAGATGATCATCTAAATGAAATTTTGACATTATCTTATCTTTATATGTAGGTATCATCTATTATTGGCATCTTACAATTAGATGGAAAAAAGTATTATCTTTACTAAATTATCTAGAATAATGTTCAAATAATTTTTTGATTTGCGATAAAAACTTGTAAAAGTATGAATATATTTTTATATCCCTTTTATGATTTACATTTTTCGTATAACTATGTTTACATAAGCGGTTTTAAAAATAATAGTATCCAAAAATTATCTAAATGATTTGCCATATAATTTCATCCTTTATCTGGATATATTTAAAACAAACTCGACAAATTTACATAGTTTCATCTCATCTTTATCTAGTTAATTGCACAATCATCCAAGCACAACACTGATATATCTAAATTGCAGGAGTACAATACAAGGACAGTTAAAATTGGTGACTAATTTTTTTTTCGTGATGTCAATCGCAAATAAAAAAGTTGGATGGAGCAAGGACAAGGCTCCCCTAGACGCGAGTAAATGACCATGAAAAGCAGAGATGAGCCTGCGCCGACACACTCGTCGGTGGAAGGAAAGCGGATGCTGATGTCACCGTGTTGGGCATCGCCGTGCTCTCTCGGCCCGGCCGTAAATATATTCCGTTTAAGACTGATGGCTAGATTGTCCCGCAGTTGATGGTTGGTCTCGAGTTCTCATATCAGGGCAGTTGACGCGTGTTACATCTCAGCGCGCGGTTACACGCGAGTAATCGCGCCCGTCTATGTCGTCGTCGCGTCGAGCTGTGAGCACGCAACTGTCATTGAACGCCCCCGCGAGGCTGCAAACTTTAAACGGTCTACAGACGATATTCTTCGTTAATAAGGATCCCGGTGAAAGCGATGCCTTATTATTACTATAGTGTTGCCAGTGTTGTGCTTAGATGATTTTTCAATCAGCTAGATCAAGATGAGATAAAAATATGTAATGGCATCTAAGATAAAATGAAGATGATTTTGTTTTGAATATATATAGATAAAAGATCAAATTATATATGCCGATTAATCTAGATAATTTTGTAGGTAATGATTTTTAAGACTGCTTATGTAAACACAGTTATTACAAAAAAATGGAAATTATAAAAGGGATATAAAAATATATGTATTCATATTTTTATTTATCAATTTTTATCGCTTGCCGCTTAAGTTCTACTATATTTAAGTATTTTTATGTGTTATGATTATAGAGCAAATTATCTGAATATTATTCTAGATAATTTAAATAATTAAATTAGATAATTAGAATAACACTCTTTTTATCTAAAATGCAGATATATAGATAATATATAATTTTATTAGCTATATAAAAATAAGATCAAAATTTCATCTAGATGAGTATCTTTATAATTTTATTTCAATTATAACAAACAATGCTTATTACTTGCTGTAAGATAAAGAGATATCTCGAGTAAGCTAAAGTGCGATTAAAATCGATTACACAGAAAAAAGTGTCAAGTCAAAACTTATACTTGTTTATGTAATGTGCAAAAATTTACTTGAATGGAAACATTTTATATAGTTCAACCAAGAAAAATATTAATCTTATTATTTAAGAATAATTTTTCTTGAATGAAAAAGAAAAATGCTGGAGGAAATATAACTCATCTTTATATAAAATAATATCTTTTATTATATTCTTTAGACAATATATAATATTGAAATAAGACTGTTATTATTATTGTTGAAATTTAAGATTTAGCAAATTCTTCAAGATGTATATTGTTGAGTATATAAATGTTGATTTGATACTTCTTTTTTCTGTGTAAGAAATATCGTCGCATAATTTAGACTTTATCTGCTAAAGTTGAGTTTTATCAATTTTATTTAAATTAGCGTACCACAAAATTGTAAAAATAATGAAATTTTAGATAAATAAATAAACAATGTAATTATATTATTTGGTGCCATTTTTAGAATAAATATAATCACACTCTCTTTCTCATTTCCTATTTTTTTGTATTAAAATAAAAAGATCTATTAGATTGCGGAATAATGTAATAATGCTCGAATATATATCAAATAAATTAGTTAACTGATCATGCTTGAAAGAACATTATATAGTAATTTGACAGATAACTGCAATCACACTTCGAGTTAAAATTCATTCACCTCATATATAAGTAAATCAATTATAAAAACACTCACTTATTAATTCACCGATTAAATTAATGTATAAAATTACAATTCAAATTGCATAGATGTATTCATAATAATAAATTCAAGATGCCTTTTTTTAGTCTTTGTGCAATTTATACATAATTAATTAAATAAATCTTGAATGACATATAATAACAATGATGCAATTTGCGAAGATGTAATTATTATTATCATTCGTAGTGTTTAATTCGTCAACATTCTTCAGTCAATCTAGTCTATTAAATCATTTCCTATATATATAACTATCACTACCTTTAGCAAGCCACGTTGTTGCAAAGCAACTCTCATTTCTCTTAGTTTAAGTCCCTTAATGTCTAACGTCAACGACTGAGGGAACATCCGGTGATGTAACGTAGTAAAACGTATACTACATGTGCATTATGTTACAGGAAAGAAAAAATTGTAACAAGCCTGCAGCCCGACCACTGTTTGCACGTCGTCATCATCATTATTAATGTGCGTCGCATATATATCGCAGCTCATTATATGCTCGAAATTCGAACGCGACTTTGAAAGAGAAACGAGCGTATAATTGTACATTCGATCATCGATCGCGAAATCAAAGTCTTTCAGAGAGCGTGTAATGCGATGTAATTTTCAAGGTGTAATTTTGAAGGATATGCGCTGATCGCGCTCAAGTGTGCCGACTGCAATCCCTCTCGTTATCATTATCATCACCGTGTGTGCCTGATCTCGTCTAGCCTTGGCAAGATCATTGCCACGATGCCACCGTCACGATCATACGGAATGACATAGCGGTAATGATAATGAACACCTCCCCGTGTTATGAAATACGTAAGCAATCGAGATCTTCGAATTTACTTGTCGCGAATCGATCTTCTTCAGCGTATAATGCGATTATTATTATCAAATATTCCAATCTGTTTAGATGACATTATAATGAACAAGTTTTTTATTATCCGGTAAACAATTTTTATATATAATTATACATATCATCGTAAGATTATATGTGAAATATGTCTATTTTTATATACATAATTATAAAATTATAAATTTATATAAATATAAATTATAAGAGTTCATATTATAATCATGTTAAATTATATATGAAACATATATATTTATATATATATAAAGAAATATATATATATATATATATATATATATATATAATTTATGTAATTATATACCTATTATATAAAAAGCACTTTTATCTAATTATATATGGACATATTTCATATATAATTTTGCGATTATATATGTATAATTTTATGTATTTCTATATAATTTTATATTGTTAGATATAAAAAATTTTTTCCCGAGTATAAACGTTTATTATTATTAAAAACGTTTATTAGTAATAAAATTGTTGAATAT